AGCCTTTATTGTGAAGGCGGGGTGGGAGAGCCACTTCTTTTCCCCAGCTGGGAAACCTCATACCTCATCCTGAATTTCCTGCCTGGGAGGCTGGTGGGAAGGCGGTGAACCTCACTGAGACTACCGTGATCAGGACCTGTTTTTCCCTTAACAGACCTCTGTTAGCTTGGTTTTATTGCCCATGGTCTCCCATGGCTCCACTGAGGCCTCCACTTCTGTGAAAAGCCTGGGCAGGGTTTCTATGAGTGAGAGTCAGAAACAGCAGCTGGGGCCAGTGTCAGACTACCTTGCTCTAGGGTCTGGGCAGGGACAAAAGAGGGAATTTGTGGAGGCAAGAGCTGTTGCGGGGGTGGTGGGTAGCTGATCAGGACCTACCTTGGGAAAGAGAGGTGGCGAGTGACAGGGGAGATGGTTTAGGAGGAAGGTGCTGATACCCCCGACTGCTTCCCCTAGCTGTTCAGCCTCTAATCCTGAACTAAGGAGGAGCTGGCTAGACTTGATGCTCTTTCTTCTTTCTGGCAGCACATGGACGTCCAAGGGAGTTGCCTAAAGTAAGGCTGGTACCCAGGGCTAATCATCTTCCTATGGGCTGGGCACCACAAGGGTTGCCCTGGGCTTCCCAGGTGGACTTTCTCCCATCACCAGCCTCTCCACACACCAGAGCTGGAACCCCCTACCCTGAATGCTTGCACCCTCTGGAAGCTTCAGGATAGCTTGTCTCTGAGCTACAGCAGTTAGCCTGCAGACAAGCACATGTCAGCATGGCCTTTGTGCCCATTCTTGAGCTCAGTACCTTGAAGGTTACAAAAAAACTAAAACTCCACGATTTAGTGTCACTATGTGCCAGGAACTTTATACACTATCTCATTTCTTTCTCTGCCAACCCCAAGAGGTAGGTATTATTAACTTATTCTTCTTCTTTGTTAAATTTAATTTTTATTTATTTTAAATTATTTTAAATTTGAGATTTAATTAACACGTAGCATTGTGTGAGTTTAAGGTGTATAAAGTGTTCACTTGATATATTTATCACAATATAGATCGTTATTCTTATTTTATAGAAAAGAAATGTATGTGTATATAATTACCTCAAATTGTATAGCTAACTAGTAAGTGGTGGAGCCAGGATTTGAAGACACTTAAGTAACTCCAAAGCCTTTGCTCTGGGTCACTGCACTAACTAGGGGTCCAAGGAGAGATGGGCCTTAAAGGGAGTGAAATGGAGGTCACAGGATGGTGACATGATATCATTCATTGTGCATGAATTTTGTGCACAACACTATGCCAAGTATTTTGCATATACTACTCATTCAATCTATGTAACAGCCCCATCATGGGGGCTAGTACTATTATCCCCACTGTACTGATGTGGAAAGTAAGGTTCAAGGAGGTTTAACGATTTGTCCAGGATGATCCAGCTAATGAGTAAGAGACCCAAGACTTGAAGTCAGGTTGGCCAGAGCTGCTGACTACTAGTACTCTCCTTTCTGCCCTAGAGGAGCCTCCTCTGGCTGGAAGGACCCCATTGCCCTCTTGGCCTAGGCCTCCCCCACCTTCCAAGGGGAGCTAGAGGCTATGGTTCCCTTGGCCTTTGACATCATGGGCTGGGGGTATCTGCTCTCCAGCTGTGAAGACTCCGCCTCCTAGACACCAGCCCTTGGTTTGCTGGGCCCGGGGCTCCACTTGACATCTTCTAGATGTCCCTGGGGCTGGACAGGAGCTTCCAGCAGCCCTGCCTGGACGAGGGGCTGCAGGCTGTGGGCTGCAGACCTACAGAGGCACACTGCCTTTCTCCCCCACAGGCCCTGGCCTGTAGTCTACATTCCTCATTGCCCTTCTTCACGGCCCGCTCCCTAAATCTGATATCATTGGAACCCTTGCACAACTACCTACTTTCAGCCTATATTCGGCTTACAGACCAAACTGAAGCCCAGTAGCTGTGAGACACCTTCCCATCCCCCACTCCAGGGTGGGGCAAGATTTCAAAACATCATGTTCTCAGTCATTCCTTTTTCTGAAGTTTTCCTTTCCCCAGCTGGGAGTTAATAGGGAGTTTGAAAACTGTAGGACTCTCCTCTGATAGGCTCCCCTTGGTGTATGTGGATTTTAAGTACTTTGGGTCTTATTCACCCCCACTCCCCATCTTTCCAAAAGCCTGCAAAGAAAGGCAGCAGGGCAACGATTTTGCTGCTACCCTAAATTGGAGGCTTAGGCCTGTTAGTTCCATTGTTTTCAAAAATTAAAACATTGGTCCTTTTTTTATAGATACAGAAATCATTGTTTTGAAATTCAAATAAGACAAGAATGTATTAGGTGAATACTCTCTTGCTCACTCCCCTAATCCCACCCACCCTCCTCACAAGATCACCACTGGTTAACCATTTGGTGCAGATTTTTCTGGTCTTTATTCTTGTGTATATTTCCTTTTCATAAATAAAAATGGAATCACTCTATAAATAAGGTTTATTACTCACTTCCCCCCATGATATTGCACAGACTTCTTTTACAAGAACGTTTGTACGTTATTTGTATAATTTTAGCATTTCAAGTTAAACAATAAAAAAATCACAAAGAATTTTCCTGTGTCATTAAATATTTTTCTACAACATTGTGTTTAATGATGTTGTAATGAATGAACCATAATGTATCTAACTAATTCCCCATTTGCATTGTTTCCAATTTTTTACACGAAGCTGTCTTGAATATCTTTGTCCATATATCTGTGGCACTCATGTGGCTCTTTGGAATCCTAGCAAGGGAATGGCTGGGTCAAAGGATATCAGAGGCACATCACAGAGGATAGACTGCCCTCTGGAGGGCTGGTGAGGCTTTGAAAGCTTGTTGGGTTTCCCACTCAACCTGTTTCCTCTGTAAATTGGGAAGATGATGGGAGATATCTATCCCCTCAGAGGGAGGGGATAGCATGAGGATGCATGCAAAGCCCGTGTTGCTTTCGAAATGACAGCAACTATTCAGTACCCCTCGGGCGGTGGGGTCATTTGGGCTGCCCAGCCACTCACAGTAGTTGGATGAATGTGGCTGGGAACAAAGCATGGAAGCAGAGTGGCCTCATCCTCACTCTGGTGGGAGCTCACATTCCAGTTTGCTGTCCCTAAAGCAGTTAAAGTTGGAGAAGCAAAGCCAAGGGTCCTATTCTCCAGTCCACCTCCCAGGGGACAGCGGAGCTTCAGTGGGTACATGGTAGGACCTGAGAAGAGGTGACCTTGGAGAAAAGGCCATGCTGACTGCCAGTCTCCCCCTCTTGGACCCTGGACAGCCCCCAGGACAGGCCCCTCAGTCACTGGGGGTGGGAAATGAATAGTTCTAGGAAGGAGAGAGCTATTGCCCCCCACCCTCAGACCTGAGCAAGGCTGGTGGCCACAGGAGCCTGGGCTCTGAGGAGGGTTGGTTAGCCATCAGCAGGATCAAGGGCATGAGCATCTTTGGGACAGGGACAGATGGCCCTGACAGTGAAGGAAATTCTGCTGAGTCCAGCTTTGAAGGAGAGTGATCTGTTCCATCCCCCGACACCCTGCCCCTTACCTTCCCACTTCCTCCATAGGAAAGACAGCAGGAGACAGTAATTTAGTTCTACCAGTTTATTGCTACCAACCCATCTCCCTCCACCCTCATGCACACATGCTCAGTCATGTAACCCCATGGACTTCAGCCCGCAAGACTCCTCTGTCCGTGGATTTTTCCAGGCAAGAATACTGGAGTGGGTTGCCATTTCCTTCTCCAGGGATCTTCCCAACCCAGGGACCAAACCCATGTCTCCTGCATTGGTAGGCAGATTCTTTACCACTGATTCACCTTGGAAGCAACCCCCTCCCACCTCCCTCATATTTACACTGAAACCGTTCCCCCAAGATGGCTTCTACCAGAGTTTCTGGTTCTGGGTCCAAGTGTGTCTGCTTTGCATACAGTTCAAGACATGGTGTTTGCCCTCAGGCCAGCTGGGCCCTGGGAAAGTTACTCTGGGAATTCTGGGCACAAACTTGGTACTGGAGTCAAGGGAGGCCCCCTACCAACAGACACTCTTCTGGAGCTCAAGGTCCATCAAAACCTTTAGCAGAGTAAAGGTGGAGTAGCAGACTCCACAATATTAAGCTTTGTGCTTTCTTTGCTTGTAAAGACCCAAGTGAGAGGCCAAGTCTGGGCCCAGACTTCTGAGGGGCCAGTCTGTCCTTGGAAGCCAGGTCAGGCTCAGCCTTGGGGAAGTGTCATTTGAGGGCCTGGGAGGGTGCTTATTGGGGTGTGGGCATTGACTTAAGCTGGGGCAGTTGCAGCTTGGCTTGAGTTATATGGGAAGGTATGGAACAGATGAGCAGGAGCCATTTCATTTGGGAGCCCAAAGCCCCTCCACCCCTAAGCAAACCCCATTGGTGTCCTGGGCCATAGTAACAGGACAGCAGACATTTAACCATCACAGAATGTCAGAGTTAGCAAGGCCCTCAGAAATTATACATTCTTATCCTGACCCATCCTAGACCGAGACTGAAGAAAGCACTCGGTTCAAGTGGCACAATGATTTAGTGGCTAAACCTGTAAGAAAATTAAGGTGAAGGAAAGTAGGAAAGATACATGTGGCTTTCTTCAAACCTTTGAGAATCTGGATTCATCTGTGATCAGTTAAAGAGTCCTTTGCAATGGTCACCTTTCCCAGGGTGTTGAGACTGGACCTGAACCACTGGCTTGGCCCCCTTCTCAGGATCTTCACGACAAAGGAAGATGGTGTGGAGGCAAGGAGAGTTTGGAGGCCTTTGTGGCCTCTTGGTCCCCCACTCCTTGCCTTGGCCACAGCTGGAAGAGCTGTGCTGTCAGTAGCTGGTGGAGGGAGGCGGCTGGGCTCGTGTGGCCTGTCATGCACTCCAGTTGCATCTGTAAGGCCCGGCCAGCCTCTGCTGCCCTAGGGGCCCCTGGGGGAGCAGAGCAGGGATCAGTGCCAGTCCTCTGGCCTAGGGCCACCACGGGAGGCCGGGTCCATCCCCGCTCCGGCCTCAAGGGGCCCCAGACAGGGAGAGGCCATGCAGTTGCTCCTCGGTGCCCGCCAGCTCTGCCTCATCACGCCCGCTCTCGGAGCCCTCGAAGCAGCCAGAGTCGCGTGGGATGTCCACCTTGGGCTCTGCCACTGTGCTCACCGCTGGCTCCTGGCCACTCTCCATGCCCTCTTCCGCCTCCTCGCTGCCAGCTGCCAGAGGCCAGGGAGGAAGAGGAATTTGGGGGGGGGGGGTGCTAAGGCTTTAGTGGCGAGAGGGCTTTAGAAATCCCAGGGGCCCCTTGTGGGTGGAGACCCTGGGAAGCCCACTGGAGGCTGTCTCTCCCTCTGGGGGCCAACCACCACCCTCCCCCTGCCCCGAGTACTGTCCAGGCCAGCTCTCCTGTCCAGGAGTGCAAACGTTTTAAGCACTGAGCTAGTAGCCAGGAAGCCTGCTCTTGCATCCTGGCCCCGTCATTACCCGACGCTGAGGCCTGCAGTCTGTGCCTCACCTCTTCTGGCCCCAAGTCTCTCCCTTTGATCTCGCAGGATGTTGTAGAGGTCGAGAAAACTCAACTGTTCCTAAAACCCCTTCTCCTCATAAGCTCTGCCCAGAGATGGGAATCCAAGTGTAGGAAGCGCCTGCCCACTGCAGAAGGGCGCCGGGGCAGGACTGGGGCAGGCCTCCCCGCCGCCCACGCCCCACGCCTAAGCCCACTCACTGTCGTAGTCCAGCAGCAGCTCGGCGGCCGTGAGCAGCTTGGCCCGATGCTGCGGGTCCATGATGTTCAGCTCGTTGAGGTGTGTTTCCCGTAGCTCTTTGAAATCCTCCAGCGTCTGGTAGCCGTTGAGCAGCAGGGTGGATGTGTGCTCCTGTGGGCAGAAACAGGCCACTTACCAGCCACCACCACCGAGGACCCATCTCTCCACCTGGAACTGACTTGCCCTGGCCCCCATCCCTTGCTTCTAGACATGCGTGCAGGCCCCCCATTCAAACCTCAAGGCCGATGCGCTCCAGCAGCTCATGCAGAGTCTTGGGCTTGGGCCTCTTGCCCTTGCTCTGTCGGCGGCTGGGGCGGGCAGGCCCCACAGCCTCCTCGGGCAGCACATCCACGTAGATGAACTTGAAAGAGCCCAGCCTGCCGTTGAGCAGACCCAGCCATGTGCCCACGGGCGGCTTTTCAATGATCTGGATCACGTCTCCTTTCTGTGGGAGGAGAGGAGAGTAGAATGGATGGAGGATGAGGAGGCCCCTTGACCTCTTGCTGACACCACCTTACCCTGGCTCTGCAGCCTGCTGTATGGGTACAGCCTGCCAGGCTCAGCAGAGGCCTGAATGCTAACCTACCTGCAGTTTCAATGAGTCACGATCATAGGGGCTGGGAGTGAAGTCGGTGTGGACTCGTGCCCGGCCACAGAAGGGGCCCGTGTACTGCGGTGCAGTCGATTCCTCCCCAAGGTTTCCAGAACCTGAGCTGGGGCTGCAGAGTTCACTGCCTGCAGGAAATGGGGTGCGGAGGAAGGTCATCTTTGTCCCCAGGACAGCTGGGGCAGTGCCCAGCTGGTACCTTCCAGGGGGTCTGGCTAGAAATCCCAGGGGCAGAAAACTGAGCTCCAAGAAGTCTCACACTGCAGAAGTGATTCTGAGCCAACCTCTCCACCACCCTAACGAGCATAGCTTCAGGGGCCCCAAGCAGGAAAATAGTTGACCATAAGAAGATCAAAGACTGGGCAAATTGGGACGGACTCTAGAAACCAACTGGACCAACACCCCAATCAGCAGATGAGGAAAACTGAGACCAGACAGGCTAAGTGAACTGCCCAAGGCGTCTCACCTTATAATTGGCAGCCCTGGGTCTGTTAGACTCCAGGCTTCCCGACTCCCACTCCAGGGCTCCTGGAAGTCACCTCCCACCAAGAAGCCACAGCGTGCATCAACATTGTTTCTTTGTCTACTTAGTAAGACTCAGTGTCTAGCTACAACATCACATGGAAACTCAGATTCTTTCTGAGAAGGGCAGGATGAATGGCAGAAGTGACTTTTAGTGGGGGTAAGGAGGTGTCTTTGGAGCAAGAGAAACATCAGAGAACTTGGAACTAATCACAAGGGTGAGAAAGGCAGTGCCTCTGTAGGTCTGCAGCCCACAGCCTGCAGCCCCTCGTCTAGGCAGGGCTGCTGAAAGCTCCTGTCCAGCTCCAGGGACATCTAGAAGATGCCAAGTGGAGCCCCGGGCCCAGCAAACCAAGGGCTCGTGTCCAGGAGGTAGAGTCTTCACAGCAGGAGAGCCAATATCCTGATCCCCAGCCTGGGATGTCAGAGGCCCAGGGAGCTCATAGCCTCTAGATCCCCTTGGAAGGTGGGGGAGGCTTAGACCAAGAGGGCAATAAGGTTCTTCCAGCCAGTGGAGGCTCCTGGAGGTCAGAACTAAATTCAAGACTGGGTCACCTTGGGCAAGTCACTTAACTTGCCTGAGCCTCAGTTTTCACATCAACGAAGTGGGGATAATAATAGTACTGCCCCATGAGATCATTGATGCTGCTGCTGCTAAGTCGCTTCAGTCGTGTCCGACTCTGTGCGACCCCATAGACAGCAGCCCACCAGGCTCCCCCGTCCCTAGGATTCTCCGAGCAAGAACACTGGAATGGGTTGCCATTGCCTTCTCCAATGCATGAAAGTGAAGTTGCTCAGTTGTGTTCGACTCTTAGCGACCCCATGGACTGCAGCCTACCAGACTTCTCCGTCCATGGGATTTTCCAGGCAAGAGTATTGGAGTGGGGTGCCATTGCCTTCTCCGCATGAGATGGTTAGGAAGATTTAATTTTAAGAGACTGGGAAAGGTCCCAGCAGATTAACAGGAAAGATTCATTTCTCTAACTACTCCCTCCCAGACAGTCACCTGTATGGTGTTCACCCTGTCCTTGACTCCAGGGTCAGCAAGTGTGCCCCCACCTCCCACACTCACCTGTGGATGCCTGGCGGCTGAGAGCTGGGAGCTCCTGCTCCTCCTGCTCAGAAAAAGCCAGCGCCATCTTCTCAGGGCCGGGGCTGTCCAGGCTGCAGTCTGGAGACGTCGGGGATGCTGAGCCCTCCTCCAGAGTATCTCCCTGGAGGGGAGGAGAGGCAGGAAGCCCTGAGTAGCCTCGGTTGAGGTGCCCATGGGGCCGCCCGGGTGCAGAGGAAGTGAGCTGGAGAGCTGGGGTCTGGCTGCCACCCCAACCATGCCTCTTGCAAGGCTGCGAGGCGCCCTCTGGGCCCTAGTTTCCTCTTCTGTGAAGTGGGATTGAGAGTGCTTGCTCTGCCCATGGAATGAGGCTCTCTTGGTGCCATGTGAATGGGCTGTGTCAGCTTGAAGTGCCCATGTACACACAGAAAAAGTCTTGGTGCTTGAGTCTGAACTCAGAGGTATTACTAGCACATAGCCAGGCAGGTCACAGTGCTGAAGAGACACACTACTTTTAACTATGTTCCTATGTGCGAGAGAGAGGATTTCAGTTCATCCTCACTCGAGGACAGGTGCTTGGTCCTCCCAAGCTGACAGGTGAGAAGTCACGGAGGAACGTTCCTAAGGCCATGCAGGAACTCACAGCCCGGTCAGCCTGACTCCACAGCTCTTGGGCCTCCCCAGAACTCAGTGCAGTTATAACTCTTTCACTAGTGACTGAGTGGGATAAAGCCCTGAGTTGTAGGGGTTGCCAGCTTCTGTGTTGTAAATACTTCCCACAGTGGCCAAGAGATCTACCACCATGGTGGGCCCTAAATGAGCCACATGCATGCGTTCTCAGTCATGTGAAACCTTTTGTGACCCCATGGACTGTAACCTACCAGGCTCCTCTGTCCACGGGATAGCCCAGGCAAGAATACTGGAGTGGGTTGCCATGCCCTTCTCCAGGGGTTCTTCCTGACCCAGGGATCGAACCTGCATCTTCTATGGCTCCTGCATTGGCAGACAGAATCTTTACCACTGCGCCACCAAGGAAGCCAGCATGAGCAGCAGCATTGGCTGTTTGCACCCCCCAGCCACTGGGATAAGGGCACAGAGCACAGTGAAAGGTAGGACAAGAGTTAGGAAGTTAATTTTGAAAACTGACTTTACTCTATTTCTTCTTAAAATAATTGATTTAATTCTAAGTTGGTATAAATTAATTTTCAATAATGCTTGTATCTCACACCTGGCTCACTTGTATCTCACACCTGGCTCATGAAATTACTGAAACTTTGAGCAACTGCTGTCTTGAGCTGGCAGGAGTCCGCGAGTGGGAGCTAACTCCAGCACACTGCTGCCAGGGTGCCTCCTCCAAGAGCCAGGAGGAAAGCAGATGCCCGGTGTGACTTCAGCTACTTGGATGTGCCTGCCCCACAGCTGTCTGTCTTGCCTTCCCTCCCTGGGCCAAGGCCAGCCTTTTTTTTTTTTTTAAGTCTTTTTATTTTGTGTTGGAATATAGCCAATTAACAATGTTGTGATCATTTGAGGTGGACAGCAAAGGGACTCAGCTATACATGTATGTATTCTATCCCAACCCCCCTCCCCAGGGCCAGCCTTCTCGATTTTCTTTCTCTGGGCTTCTTTGAATCAAGCCTTCCCAATCCCAGTGGCTCGTTCCAAGTAAAACTTCGTGATGGATGAATATGCCCCACGATAACTCATCTCCTCAGGCCTGTCTCCTGAGGAAGCTTTGTTTCCCAGACCTTCATCCCTCCTCAGACCCCACTCCTGCTCCCTCAGGACCGTGCCTTCCTGCTTGACTGGGGGAGCTCCCTTCCCACGGTGACCTTCCTGCTTGTATGGGGCCAGGCAGTGTGCCCAGGGAGCGGCTCTCCTGACAGCCATGCTCACCCCCTACTAGACCACTGCTTGTCCTTGTGGACCCCCTACCCGCGGCGTCCCTGGGTCCCAGGCCTCACCATCTCCTCCGACAGGGCCTTCACCATCTTCTTGCCCGTCTTCCTGTTCATGGTTCGGGAAATCACTGCCCTCCACTTTTTCCCCAGCTTCTTGCCGCTCTTCTCGGCATCCTCTGGGGTTGGCACACCTGACTCATCTTCTGGAATCTGTGACAAGAAATGTGGAGATTTGGGAACCCAGGTGGCCATGTCTGGGTCCATGACTTGGGAGCAGAAGGAGGCCCTGGGGTCCAGGTAGACCCTGGAGGGGTGGGAAGGAGAGGTCCCCATCCTTATTTTAGCCCCAGACCTATCCTTAGCCCTATTTATTCATATTTAAATTGGCAATTTGCAAATGAAGAGAATGCAGGTGAAGCTTTAGGGCCCAGAATTTTGGTGGGTGCGGAGGTAGGCCCATTGTATTTAAAAAGACTTTGCCTCCACAATCCTAAAATCCTCTTTCCCCTTCCTCCCTTCCTCCCCTCCACTCCCCAACCCAGGGCCTGCAGCCAGATCCCCCAAGGAGGCTCTGAAACTCACATTATCATCCAGATTAAATTCCTTCTCGCTCACCACGGGGGAGCTGGGTTTGGATTTGGCAAAATCTTTGAAGCTGCTGGAGCGCTGAAGGGAGAGCTGGGAGAAGCAGAGGTGTTGCCAGGAGTTAAATTGTGTTGCATTACAATTGTGGTCTGTAAGGAGCACAGAGCTGTTCTTGCTCCCAACACAGCGTATGTAACCCAGAGCTGGGCCCAGAGCTGAGGAGGTGACGCTGCAAGTCCTCATCCTGCTCTTCAGCAGTGAGTGGGCCCCTGAAGCAGGCTCCTCACCTCAGGAGCCTCAATCCGGTCCACAGGCTGAGCCCACTGTTCTACCAGTACCTTAATTCTGGTCCCCACAACCCTGTAGTAAAAGACTAAATGTGTCTGAGGAAATGCGTGTCTACTACTGGAGACCTACCTCCTCATGTACAACAGCATCACCTCTATTCAGGTAGTAGAACAAACCCTCCAAAACCCTGCAGCCTGGCCTCCAGGCTCTCTCTTCCCCAGGCGTGGTTTCCTGTGACTGATCGTGGGAAACACACTGGGGCCTCCAGCCTGACACATCAATGTCCCAAGAAGAAAGAGGGCCATGACACATCGGTGTCCCATCCAAGGGCCAGTAAGACTTGGCATTACGCGTTCTGGAAAGCCATGGTACAGACTGAATGAGAGAAAGTTTGGGACACCAATGATTGGTTCTAACATAGTAAAAGAACGCTACCATTTTCTGTCTTCATCTCTGCTTTTAATCTCAGCTGCTAATGAGCTGGCTACTCTACGAACTTGCCAGTGTTCAGATTTGTTGTTTAGTCACTAAGTCCTGTCCGATTCATTGTGACCCCCATGGGACTCCTATGGACTGTAGCCCACCAGGCTCCTCTGTCCATGGCTCAACCTATTGTTTGTGCTGTGAATGAAAACTGTTGCCCATCTCCCCTGCATCAGCAAACAAAGGATGCAGTGGTCATCCAACCATCAGTCACCCGTGGTGAGCCTGAAGGCACCAGGATGGAGATTGGCTGCCGGCTGCCAGGCCCTTAGCCACTTCGGCCACCACTGATGATGCTCCCTGAGGGGACACAGGATGGGAAAGAACACAATACTGGCCCTTATCTTTGCATAGCAAGGGGATGATTTCAATAAGCACAGACTCTTACATCTTCCCATAACACAAAGTGCTAAATTTATTTACTTGGGTTGTCTAGTTTCCTTTAACTAACAGTAATCTTTTGATATTCTGACTACCTGGTCTTCCTTACAAAACTCCTTTGTATTCTGGCTCCTCCTTTACCTCTTGGGAGCAGTCCCTCGGAACTGAGAGGCTCCCCCCATTCCCCACCCGTCCAAGTCCTCAGAAAGTCCACTCAATAAACCATAATTCTCAACTTTTAGGTTATGCATTTTTTTCAGTCATTAGCGCTGATAAGCCTGTTTTCAGGAAATGAGCTTTCTTAACTGCACATGCATGCACATGGCAAGATAGCAGGAGAAAGTGGGGCCAGGTAAGGAGAGCCAACTTGAGACACAAGAAGGGGAGGCTGAATCCGAATCAAGATCAACAGTCAAGACCAGAGGTGAACACAGGAACCAGGGTTCACAGATGGCCAGACAGATAGAGTGGGGTCAGCTGCAGACACCAGAGATAAGGGCTTAAGGAACCGAAGCCCCAAACCTGCACAAAGTTGAAAGTTTCACATCCTCTTTCCTATGAAAGGGGGGTCCAGTGACAATCCCCCAGGGCAGAGGCAGTATCACACCCCCCCATACACACAATCGGTCCCCCGCTTCCAGGGACTACAGTGGAACACTTCAGTTCCCTTGGTCTTGACCAAGAGCAAGTCGGTAATCAGGAGCTGCGGTCACACCTTCCAAGAGGTCACAGCAAGCTAGCGGACCAGAAACCAAGTCAGCGGTCAGGTCAAGCAGATACCACCACCATGAAGGCCTCCTGGGTGAGGTGCCTGCACCCTTAGGGAGAAAGCCCCTTGCATGTGACCCTGGGGAGCTGGGAAAGGGGACTGAGTGGTACAGGGCATGGCAGTGGGGTGACCGCTCCTATTCCCATGCATCTCCTCCATCTTCCTTCCCTGGTTTTCCCTAACCACTATTCTTTCCTCTTTTTCTCCCTCGTTCTCCCCTTCTCTCCTCCACCTTCCATTCATTTCCCCCCTCTAGTATAGCTAGGATGCAGCTGCCTGGATAACTTCCTCCTCTTATTGCCTGGAAAAGAGGGAACAGAGAGAGGGTGGGCACCAGGCTGGCCTGGGCCCAAGGAGGGTAGGCTGGGAACCTATATTTAGGCCGATCAGGCCTATTGTGGCTTTCCCTTCACCAAGCCTGAGTCTGGTCTGCAGACCAGGAGGCTGAGAGTCGCCCCTGAAGCCCCAGGGACCAGTGAGCCTGAAAAGCCTGCAGCAGGGAAGGCGTGGGGCCGGAAGTGGGCTTTGTTGAAGAAGAGTAAGCTGACCGCCAGGCTGCCCTCTAATTGCAGTTCTTTCCTTTTCCTGTCATTAATCTGCCGTCGTCGGGGTTTGGGGGTGGCTGGGAGGGCGGCTTTTGGCTCCTGGGACCTCTGTCCCAGCTTTAGTTCGAAACAGGAGAAAACAATCTAAAAGGCCCATGGGGACTGCGCTGGAACGTGTGCCTGGCCAGCTGCTCCTCAACCCTGGCCTGGGTACACAGAAAGGACTAGAAAAATTCTTCAGGGGACTAAGGATAAGGGTCTTTTGCCCCACCCACCTCTAAACTCAGGAGCACCCCAAATATCCTGAATGCCTTTCAGTGAGTCTGAAGTGATCCCCTACCCAGGTATGAGTGGAAATCCTTGAGCCCTTTTGGATCTTCTGCCTGGCCTCCCTTTAGGGTGAGGCCTTCCTGGGGGTCCTGGGCGGGAGGTGGTACCGTACACTGTAAGCCCCATTTTCATGTCTAAAGGGAGTATGTGGGCCTCTCGGAAAGAACTACTGTTTGGGCATCACACGTTGCTGAGTATGACCTTCGGTAAGTTTCTTTATCTTCCCCAAACCTCAGTCTCTTTATTTGGCGTCAGCTGGCAAGAGTTCACATCTTGCTTCTGCCATGGAGCAGCTGTGTAAAGCTGGGTGAATTTCTCAACTTCTCTGGGCTTCTGTTTCCTCATGGGTGAAATGAAAAGCACAGCACCCATCTCACTGGGTTGTTGTGAGGCAGAGAGGGGTGAGCATGGGACACGGCAGCTCCTCACGGCTCCTACCCCTCACCTTCCCTACAATCAACCGTAGCTTTTCCCATCCTTCAGAACCCAGTTTAACTGGAAACAACTCAAACGCTCATCAGCTGTATAGAGGACCTGTGAACTGTAGCAGGGGATAGCACATGGCAATGAACTTCATGCAACTCTCCCTGGCAATATGGTGACGCTCACAGCTACACTGTTGGGCAGAAGGGACCTGCCACCAGGGTATACTATATGGTTCCCTGTACAGAAAGTTCAAAACTAGTCCATGCAGTTGGAAGTCAGGAGAGTGGTTGGTTACCTTTGGGGGAAAGGGGGCATGCAGTGACTGGCAGGGGCACGAGGGAAACTTATGGAGTGCTGGAAGTGTTCTGTGTGATCCAGGGGCTGCCTACATGGTGATGTTCACTTTACAGAAATCTGTCGAGTGTTACATTTGTGATGTACACACTTCTTTGTATGGATACTTCAATAAAAAGGATTTTCAAATCTAGTTTTAAAGGCGCTGCCCCCCTGCAGGAAGCTTCCCCCATCGCCCCCTCAGAGCCTCACCCTGCTGGGCCTGGCATCTTCTTCCCAGCTTTCTAAGCAAGCACGGCTTTCCAGCGTCGTCCTCCCAACCCCATCCCAGGTGTCTCTGCTGCTATGCTCTCTGCTCCTTCAGCATACCGGTCGCATACTGAGCACCTTCTGGGCTCTGGACACTAGCCTGTGCATGTGTGGGATCCAGTAATGAGAGGTCGAGTACCTCCCCTATGCCTGCTGCCTGCCAAGCACTGTGTGTGTGTCCACTCACTTCAGCCTCCCTGCAGCCCCGTCTTACACCCACTCTTTCCAGCTGGGGACACTGAGACTGGGAGAAATGAAGCATCCTAGATGGAGTGACACAGTAGGTGGAGGCCAGCGTCAAACCCATGCCTGTGACTCTGGAAGCTTCTGCTTGTTCCTGTGCTCAGAGCTCACGAAGTCACCCCCTCGTACAGAAGTGGATTAAGGGTAATGACGACTGCAGGTGGGATTTGGAAGAAGCTATGAGGAGAGTAGGTGGGAGCATGGAGGGAGAAGGGCTCCAGGAGGCACGTTTAAGATGGGCTGTCCTGGGGATCCAGGATTGCTCCAGGTGCAGCTGGGAAGGGTTTGATCAAGAGTGATGATCGAATGGTGGGTACGCCAGTGCATGGGGTGAATGGTGGAGCAGAAAAGGCCACGGAAGGCCCTTGCCAGCCATGGTGTTAGCCTGTGGGCAATGAAGAGGCATGGGACATATGAAGTGCATGCTAGTGGCGGGGGTGGGAGGTAGCACACCAAGGTGTGCTGTAGGAAGGAAGCCAGCAAAAGTAATGTGCCAGGACTGCGGAAGAGAGAGGCAGGGAGAGACTGGAAGGAGTGGACAAGTGACCCCTCAGTTGGGAGCCTTGATTCCTCTCCATTTTCCCTGGTGGCAGGTGTGGGATGTAGTGAAGAGTAGGTGTGCGATGGGGTAGGACTATCCTTAGGGGAGGCAGGTGCTAGGTCAAACTCCTGTCCACTGCCTACATTCCAACAGACCAGAGAGAGTGCAAAGAGATGCTTTGATGGAGGCATCAAAAGACAGCCAAGGGGTATTGCCTCCCCCAACCTCCCTCCCCCCTCAACCTGGGCGTCTCCTCAGTCCTTCATGACACACACATCCTGACCCCACTACCCTGGAAGGCTTGTTCCTGACTCTGCTCGGGGCTCCTTGGAAGGTCACTCAGTTCATAGCCATCTGGGCCCGCCCTGCAGAGCCCTTCTGCTGATAGGTTGAGTCTTTTATGCTCATCAGACTTCTCCAGTGCTTTTGAGATCAGTAGGGAGACAAGAGTAGAGGGAGAAGGGGTTAAGACTCTGGACACTGACAGATCTTGGCTTCACTCCCTGCTTCACTCCCAGCTTCCTAGCTGTATGTCCTTGAGTAAGTCACTTCACCTCTCTGCGCCTTGGCCATAAAGTAAAAACAACACTGGCCCCCACCTCACAAGGCTGTTGTGAAGAGCCAACGAGCTAAGAGATGAGTGTACAGCATAGCGCCCGGCATCTGGTGAACTACGAGGTCTTGTTTTCTCCACTTCAGGGCTGGGGCCGAGGCTTGTTTTTGGCAGTGGGCTCTCTGCCCCCACTCACGGCTTCAGCGTGCACCCCTTCGTGTGCACAGGCACACATGTGATAGTGCACTCACATGTACTGCTGTACTCGCATGTACTGTATGTACAGGTGATCCATACAACCTCCTGAGGTGGGGAGGTCAGGACCTATCCCTCTTTATCAAGGTCCCCAGCACATCCTCCACTTTCTCCACACTAGCCTTTGCGCTATTCCCTCCACCATGTCGCCTTCGCCTCTGAGGGGCAGGGACATGCCCAAGTCAGAGCTGGAGCTATGCCGCTGCCTCCTGGCCTGGGGAAGCTGCTGTGCCCACCTTCTGGAAAGCTGGCTTGTCTAAGAGTGCTTCCAGGGGATGCAGCTGGGAGAGTGGCTCTGGGGGCTGGCCCAGGCTCTGCTGGGCTGAGGCAGGGTTTGCCAGGCCAATGTTGCCCTAGAGGACATGGCCCTCAGAGGGCTGTGACAGCCTGGACTCTCCTGGGAGAGGCCTGTGGGAAATCCAGAAACCCACCAAACCCAGAATCTGGATGATGGAAGTGGGGAGAAAAAACGGGACTTCTGGCTCCTGTGAGCCTCCAGGCACCTCCACCTGAGGCGGCACAGGCTGCCCGTGTGGAAGTGTCAGCTCTTTCTCAGACTCTTTTCTCCACTCAGCTCCCCTGTGGTTTGAGGCCCAGCAGTGTCTCGGGCGGTCTCCGTTTCCCACCCCCATCAGCCCAAAAGCAAGGGGAAGTGGACCCACTCGCTGAGGAGGGTCAGCCAATGGCAAGTCTGCCAGGTTAGTCTGCCAGGGCTGGTGGCGTGTAGGGCTTGGACAGGGGTGACAGAGCCTGTGTGAAAAGTCGTGACTCTCTTTCCCACCCACCCACCTCCACTGCAACCTCAGCGAAGTGGCTGGGGTGGGGGAGAATACAGCCGGAAGTGGCAGCCACCCCAGGACTTGAGGGGGAGCAGGATATACACCCCAGTGCCCTGAGGCTCGGCTTCTCAGCTGGTTTGGTCTCTGCCTGGGAGCTGCTCCTCTGACAAAGGGGCTCCCCCACGGAGCACCTGGGCTAGGCTCCAGGGGAAAGCAGCAGGGCACCATGGGGGCCTGGAGGCCCTAGACCTTGGCCTGTGGCTATGCTGAGCCTCTCCGACCTGCTTCAGGCCTAGTTGGGATGGTCCTAGGATCCTGCTGGGTGTGTGGGATGTACCTGCTGATAGTTGGGGAGAATCTGACAATTGAGTCCAAGATTGAAGTCTAGAAATCCTCAAATTCAACTAGAGAAACCTAAATGTGGCAGAGCCTTCAAGGAGTCTTCTAGGCTGGCCTCAAAACTCCAGGAAGATGAGCAGCTGCTTTTCTTCCTGGCCTTTAAAATATGCCCACTCCCCGCCCACAGAATTTTCCCCCCTCAGTCCTCACTCCCACGCCTCATCTCAGCAGCTTCATTTCTCATTCTTCACAAATAATTTCTCCCCGGTTCGGAAGAACCTGCATGCCCCCTGCAACCCACTGCAGGTTTGGAGGCCCCTTCCCTGAATCTGGAAATCTGCGCTGCATCTTCAGGTGGCCCCCTCTCCTGTGGGCCCCCAGGAGCTACAACAAAGCTGAATGAAGATGGCCAAGCTCAGGCTAGGCCAAAAGGGCGAGGGCTCTGGGAGCATCATGGCTCCTGGCTGGGCAGCCCAGCGGAGCCCTGTGAGTGAGATGGCTCCTGAGAGGCAGGCTCGCGAGGGACTGCTGTAGGGGAGAGACTATGCTAAATACAGTCTTACACTTCAACTTGAGAATTGTATTCTGTAATTCTTAAATTCTAGTCTAGGATTCTAGTCCCCAATTTTAAGTCTCTTACTGTGGTAGGGTTGAATCCTGCAACTCAAGGCTTCCGAGAGTGTATTCTATAAATCTGTTTCTCTACAATTTGGGAAGTCTCTCCTGGACTTCTGTTACTAGTCCCATGCCCTTGGGAGAATGGCCCTCACCTATAAACTCAACAGAAGGTCTTGGCTCTTCCCACTTCTGTGAGTTCTGGAGAGGATGGGCTGAGAGAGCAGAGGGAAGGAAGCAACAAGTTCCCAAAGATGCTCCTCACCTTTTTCTTCTGAGTAGGCTCCTTCTCGCTGGCGTTGGAGGGCTTACGGCGCAACATGGTCCTCTATCCTGGTGATACTCCGTGCCTGCTCTCCTAGGTGTCGAGACGCGGAGGCCTCTTGCTCAGCCTCGCCAGTACCGTCCAGGGGGCACGGCATGGACTGAGCCTGTGGCTGCCACTCTGACTGCTGCACTGGCAGCTTGGGGGTGCGGGCCATGGACACCCGGCGGCAGCGGCATACAGGAAGCCCCGTCACGTGACCTACTCTTACAGCAATCGCAGCCCCTGCCGGCCCCTGGGGAGGAAGGAAGTCCCAGCTTCAGTCTCCAGAGATTCTGATGCAGACGGCTTCTGGGTTGAACAAGCAGAGAAAAGTCCCTACCCTGCCATCTCATGGCAATCCTTGCCAGTCCTTCGGCCAATCAACCTGATGTTATACAGCCTACTCAAGCCTTTTGTGTCACTGACCAGAATCCAGATACTGGAAGTGGGACCATCTCTCTGCTGGTGTTGGGCCAATGCTCCCAGTCACCTTGTATCACCAAGATCATCACTGCGATCACAACCTCTACCATCACCCTAGAGTCATCACTCCTATCTACAGCCATCACCTTACAGATCAGCCCTGAAGTCATCCCCACTGCCGTCAGTACATCTACAGCCATTATTGCTAGAACAACCACAGCCATCACCCCTACAGTCATCATCACTGCCTCTGTGACTATCACAACCGTTATCCTTTCAGCTGTTACCCTTACAGACATTACAACCAGTCATCCCCATGACACTTCCCCATACGACCATCACCTCTACTACCATGACCACTTTCCTGCAGCCAACACCTCTGGGCTCTCATACCTGCTGTCAACACACCTGGGTCATCTGTCTGTATCTGCCTCCCGACTGCCACTGTCACCCATGCAGCTATCATCTTCCTAGCTACCACCCTTCCAGACACTATCACTAGAGCCAGTCGTGCCCAGTGATGCCCTCACCCCTACAACCGTAACTCCTAGAGCCACATACCCTCCCTCATCATCACCCTGCAGCTGTCATCCCCACCACCACCGGCACACCTCCAGCCATCCTCACCAGAGCAGTCACACCCAGAGTCAACATCCCTTGGCCATCACCACTTATATTTATCACCACCAAGTCATCATCACGAAAAAAAAAAAAGCAATTGCAAGTCAGTCCACACCACCAGCAAACGTCCCTTTTGGCAGGCATTTCTTGAACGTCTATGTGCTAAGTTTAGAATGTTCACTTTGTGGGTCTTTGGTGGCAGACATTTTAATAACGTTAATGACAATCTTATCACAAAAGTGATTCATATGTATCATATACAATTTAGAAAAGAAGGATAAACAAAAAGAACAAAGTTCAAATATCCTTTTCTGTTCTCTCTCTCTCTCTGCAGTACAATTTGCACAGAAAGCAGATTAGTGGTTTGGGAGGTTGGGGAAGGAAGGGAGAGATCAGGAAGGACCCAAGGATGCTTTGGGGGGTGATGGATAGTTCACACTCTTGGTCGTGGAGATGGTTCATCATTGTATACAAATGTAAAAACTCAACAAACCGTATACTTTTCAGAAGTGCAACTTATTGTAGTTCAATTATACCTAAATAAAGTTGTTTTTAAATTTTCAAAAGTTCAAGTCCCACTTCACACAATGCATTGGTATCTGCTTGTCAAGCTGACCACAGTGTAAAGATTTTCTGGCGCTATGCACGTTCTGCTAGAGGTGATTTGTAATGGCCGCCGGGAAGCCCAGGCATAATGCACCACGATTATTTCACCAGGCCTCTACAGATGAATTTACATTGGCTTGATATTTTGACTCTTCATCGTACATCCTTAAAGGAAATATTTATTTATTTTTTCCTTAGGATACATTTCCAGAAGGGGAAACCTTGGGGGAAAAGATGTGCCCCTTTTAAGGCTTTCCATTACGGGGCACTTGTGAAATCCGAGGTTGTTCCCAAGATGTTCTTTTGACTTCCTCCCCCTACTCTCCAGCCTGCCCTATGCCCTCCCACCATCCATCGGTGGGGGTGAGCTCAGGAAAGCCTAGGTCCTTCCCCCCCCCAAGCTGAAAGCATACTTCTATGGCTCCGTCCTACTCAGCCTTCCCGGTAGACTCGCAAAAAGACCAGCACCCCCAGCTCTCACTCCTTCGCCTACCCTCCCCGGGGCCTGCGCTTTCCAGCCCCAAAGTCCCTCCCAGGCCGACCCCGGGCCGCGGGAACTGCCGAGCCGCGGTGCGCGGTGTGGGAGACTCGGCGGGCCTTGGGGGACGGCGATCGGGGGCGCCGGGCGCGGGACGCGCGGCTGCGGTTCTTGGGGCACCTGGGGCTCGGGCGGCCGGAGCGGAGCAGCCGGGGAGGAGCCGCTGGCCCAACCTTCCCGGCCTGCGTCGCGAGCGCGCGTCCCGGGCCCGCGCAGGATGTGCAGGCTTCCTGTTTGCTCAGCCCCGGCCTCGAGCCGAGCTCACACACTAACCGCAGAGTCTTCAAAGGCAGCCACCTCAGCCCGGCGCCAGGCGCCGCGACCGCCTCGTCGAGGCCCGGAGAAGGCAGAGGAGTGGGGGAGGGGGTGAAGGGACCTCGAGAGAAGTACAGCGGGGCGACCCGCCCCCGGGACAGAAGGGAGCGGGGGTTTTCAGCCCTTTCCCTCTGGCTTCTTTTCAGATCTCTCTCTTCTGGTCCGCTGTGTCCACTCAGGGGGTCCTGGGCTCCCTCCTCCGCACTTGTCTTCTCGGAACGTTAGTCCCAGCAGACTGCCCTGGCCCTGGTCCCATTAGGTCAGGCCCCAGCTGGCTAATGGGCCCTAAACACGTTTTTAATAGGTGTTGCCTTCCGGGCAACACGTTTGTATTTTATAGTTTCTGTTCCAGGTACACAAAGCCATCAGTTGAAAAAGCGATCCAGGTCAGTAGTTCAGGGAACAAGGCCACCTCCAACTTGATAATGGGCTGGCAAACAGGACCCAGGATGGAGCTCTCTGCCCAGAGCCTTGTGCCAGGCATTCTGAGGAGATGTGAGATAGTAGCTCTCAGGGTCCCTTGCACCTGGGAGCTTCCATCCCAGGTAGGGGTGGCACGCTTACGTCTGCCCAGCACTGTTCTTTGCCAAGCACGACAAGAGGCACTTCCAAAACATTTAATGCCACCACAGGCCCCGCCATCCCCAACCAGGGTAAGCAGTTTAAATTGGGGTTATTATGGCAAAGATATGTATAGTATAATAGGTGGGGCAGGAGTATTGTGGTGTGTGTGTGTTTGTGTGTGTTGTGGGGTAGGGGGAGTATTCCACAAATAGTGAGATCTTCAGAGGGCAGATCCAGGGCTTCCATAGACACTAAGGTCATTGTAGACTGCATTCACAAAAAGCAGCCCCCCACTTGCACCTCATCCCAAGAGATTCTAATTTACTAGATGATCATGGGTGGAATATTTGTGGCTGATGCGACCCAGACATGTATGAACACATCCGTCACTCTGCAAATGGGTACAATCCTGCTGTGAGAGAGTAAGAGTTTAGATAAGCGATATCTAAATTTGGAAAACTTCCCAAATGATTCTGATTCTCACCTCTCCCTGACACCCACATGCATCCAGTTGAAAATAAGAACACTATGTGGCAGGCAGTGGGCTCTACAACAATCCTATAAAGCAGCCACTGCTGTTATCCTCATTTCCAGGGAAGAAGCCAAGACTCAGAGGGGTTCAGCAAACTGTGTACACCAACACAGCTAGGAAGTAACGGAGCTGACTTAAATACAGGCTTAGTCTGGGTTCAAGGTCCGTGCTATTAACCGCTAGGTGCAAGTGCCTCTGATATAGAGTTTCTGAACAAGAAGGTGAGAGAATTGCCACCCTATCCTGGTTGGGGTACCACAGGGCCACCTTGAAACAAAGGGTGGGGGTGAAGAGGATGCAGAGGGCATCTGGGAGGGGCATCATATACACAACAGCTGGAGAGTTAGGGTTGATTAAATGCAGGCGATCTACAGGGGCATCCTTGTCAACCTAGGGAGCATTCACATCTGCAATACCTGGCTTACAGGGTTGGGATGGGGAAGCAATCAACTTCAAACAGCTGTTTTATAGACAAAAGGGCAGTATTCTAGGTGGCCAGGAATGATGGGGAAGAGATAAATGGAAGATTTGGGTTCATTTCATGGAAGACATTTTTTGATATTCAGATGGTACTAGTTCAGCCCTGGTAAATAGTGATCTTCCTGTCTCTAGAAACATTCAAGCAGAGACCACGCAGTCCCTTGGAAATACCTGGGCATTTCCAAGGTAAAGTCCATCTTGGAAGTCAAAGCTGTTGTCACACTTCATGGTGGTCATTTTAGGCGGGGTCAGGGGCAAGGAGAGCAGAAGTGCAAGTGAGAGGAGGGCAGAAGAGAGCCAGGAGCCTGGGCAGGAAGCCACCATTCCCGTACACATTGACAGCACATGGGGAGCTTGCAGCTCTGGGAAGGCCGGGGAGCCCCTGGCAGCAGGGGCTGATGGGAGGGAAAGACAGTCATCTCTGAATCTCTGAACTCGTGATAAGGTCTGGGTTTAAAAACAAAAAAAAAAACACCTGCAGGCAGCTGTGGCAATTACCATCAGAGGAAGAGGCTGGGCTCTATGACCTTGGGCAAGTGACTTTGGGCCATGAGCTCTAATGAAGAGAATGACACTGATAATGTGGGCCTTGCATGGGGATTGGAGGGGAGGAGTGTGGAGGAGGGTGTGTGTATGTATGCCTGTGTGTGTGTATAAGTATAACCAGCGTTACTCAGACGACACTTATAGAGAAAGTGCTCTTGGCCCAGTGTCCACTTCTTGGAAAGCTTGGTCCCTGCTGGGTGACTCCACCTCAGTTCCCTCCAGGCTCCACCCAGAGTTTCTCCTCCAGCCTTGGCACCTACTCCTACATCTTATCTGGACCCCAGCTAAAATCTCCGCTTCGTGACCTGGTAGCCCATATCCTGCGTGTTTCCACCTTGTCAAGGGCAGGGTCCTTCAGCCCAACAATTCTAGAACACAGGAGGTGTGACAAGCAAGAAGTCCTAGGACTACTCAGGACCACTGGGAGGGAAATCAGCCTTTCAGCTTCAGGGTCTTGCCATGGACCACTGGGACTTTCTCAACCACCAGCCTACCTCACTTGAACTGCTTGCTCAGTTCCTGTTTCACAAAGAAACTAGGAAGTGAAGAGATGAGCCGGCGTCGGGGCAAGGGTTGGCCAGGCGGGGCGGGGCTGGGGAGTGCCTCCCACTCCCCGCTGAGAGAACCTTGAGGGACAAGATGGACAGAGAGGAAACGGTTGTTATTGAATCTTTCATATTTCTATTTTTTGGCACCAAGAGGGTCCAATCACTGATTGAGGAAGTACCCAGCGAGTTGGTAACGTTCACTGCTGACGTGGTTTAGCGGGGTGAAGGGTGGCTAGCCCCGCCCCTTCTGTGGTTCTAGTCCATGAGCAGCTGGAGCAGCTGGCGGGCAAGTGAGAGAGGACTAAGTCATAATTTTGAAAATGAACCGTTTAGAGTCTTTGTTTACATATGCAGGTATGTCATCTTACCCACGTTCTTTTGTATTCCAGAAAGGATATAAAGGGTCAAAAATGGAGGTCAATCCCATCATCACCACAGCCGTCACAGCTGTGTGACCTCAAAGAGGTCTCCGTGCACCTCAGTTTGCTCATTAGCACCAGTAGGGGTGTAACTGAGGCCCACCCTGGGAGTCGGAGGGGAGCTAGCTCAGAGCTGAGTCAGGAGTACTAGGGGCTTCATCTGAGCTCCTACCCCAAAGAACAGTGTCACCTTGGGCAAGTCCCTTATTTTTTCTGGGCTGCTATTGCAGTTTCCCCATCTGGATACTGAAAGGGTCAAACCTGCCTTTTGTTTATTTGGTCCTGGAGCTATTAGTCAGGACTGGCTATGGCATTTGTGGGGTCTTGTGCAAAGTGAAAGGCTGGGTTATTCAGTTGCTAAGTCGAGTCTGACTCTTTGCAACCTGACCTCGTGGACTGCAGCATGCCAGGCTTCCCTGTCCTTCACTCTCTTCCCAGAGTTTGCTCGGAGTCATGTCCATTGAGCTGGTGATGCCATTCAACCATCCCCTTATTAAAAAAAAACTTAAAGATTTCAAGATGATGACATCAGAATATCACATCAAGTGTGGGGCCTTTCTAAGCACAAGGCCTCAGGCAACTGCACAGATCAATCAGTCAGAATGTGGCCCTGCAATTGCTTCCTATACAACTGTATGGGAAGCCCCTTCGGCTGCTTTTTTCTTTTTAATTGAAGTATAGTTGATCGACAGCATAGCATCAGTTTCAGGTGAATTGGCACTCTGCTTTGCCCTGTGGCATTTCTGAGGAGCCCTGGGCTCCAGGGAGCATAGCTGGGAAAACACAGAGACTTGTTCAAAAGCCTGTCTAGTTTTGACAATTTATATGTAAAAGTTGAGCCCAAACCTTTTCCTTACCTCCCTCCAAAGGTGGGCAGATGATGGGTGTTTTCATCTGTGAGGCTTCCTGGCTTACAGGGCGCTGTCACATCCGGATCTCATGGGCCTCTCATCATAACCTCATGAGTAAGGCGGGCCAGGGAGTTTACAGCAGGGATAACTGAAGACCAGAGAGGTGCGGTGACTTGAGCAAGGCCACACAGCTGGTACAAGAACTCTAGAATCCTAACTCCTAGGAAAAGGGAGTTTTCCACATGGCCCGCTCCACAGTGGCGATTGGCAGGTGAGGAGGGGTTTGGTAAGCTCTATCCTCCAGTATAAAAACTAAGGACCAGAGCCCAAGGGGGCATTTATTTATCTTTGGTTCCTAATGATATCTCAAGCGCCCTGTGTTAGCCCTGCTGTGTGCCCTGAACGTCCCCCTGCCTGATCCAGGGGGAAGCCCTTGAAGCAGGATGCTCTGTGGGCTGGGCATCCGAGGCCTAGGAAGGGAGGTGGTGAGGGGCTGTGGCCCCCTCTGCAGCCAGGATTCTGGGGCTAGGGTTCTCAACCCCAACATGGTGGATTGGAACAGCAGTTAAGTTGTGGGGAGATGAGGCAAAGCCCTCATCTCTTGCGCGAAAGGGAGGAAAGGGGTGTGAGCTGCCCTAGGGTGAAAGCCGTGTGAGGGGGTCTTGGCCAGGGACTCGGGCCCCCCAGCTGCCCAGGAACCCCAGGAGCAAGTGTCAGGGGTCAAAGGTAAAGGCCAGGGCAGGCAGGCCCTGGGGAAGCAGGATGGTGTGAAGAACGTGAGCTAAGTCCCAACTCACCAGCCGTGTGATCGTGGTTGAACCTGTTTTCTCATCTGTCAAACAGTGAGAACCAGAACTTTTTCCCCTTTTCAAGGGAATGGGTCCTGGAGTCCTTTGCTTGATTTAAATCCTGCTCTTTTCATTTCCTTGACAAGTGACCTTGACAACTTGGTTAATCTCTATGAACCTAGCTTCCGGTCTCTCACTTGTAAAATGGAAACAACAGAAGTACCTTCTCAGAGGTTGTAGGGATGAAATGGGAAAATGTGATAATGTATGGTACACTTACAAATTTAAGAGCAGATCTCACTTTTAATGTTCTTAGCACAATAAAATTGAAAAAATGTAAAAAACATGGTGAATACTCAGTGGATGGTAGGTTTGATGACCATGATGGCGACTCATTTTATTATGACTACCTGTCTTTGTGGGGTGAGCTTGTGAGGGAGCAAATGACTCAGCAAACAGGGGCCCACCATGGGGTGCTACAGGCTCTCAGTGAGGATGGCTCAGAGCTGGGGCCTTTGGGTGCAAGCATTGGTGGTGATAACTGTCACAGGTCACCCTCACACTTGGCAAGCTAGGCTTGATGGTCCCACCCGGGGGACTCCTCAGCCGGGTGCCCTTGCTCAGCACTCTGCCCCAGAGTTCTCCTTTTCTCCTCCCCTGACTGTGCTCCCTTGGCACTGGCCCCAAATTTCCAGGACCACCTTTGACAAGTCCCCCAGCATGGGGCTCCCCTGGTTTTGTCGACAAAGCTACAACCTTTACCACAGGAGGTGGTTGGCTGGGCGTGGCATGCATGTGAATCCACATACACGCACCCATGCTCACTTGCACCTTCTCAAGCACATGTGGTCCCCAACCGAGCTTCTGGGAGCCTCACATCCCCGCCCCCACCTCACCTCCTCCCCTTCCTCCCCCACCACAAAAGCCACAGGTAACAGCAGTCCCTGGCTGCACAGCAGACAATGCAAAACCCAGAGGCAGGCTTCATTGCCAGGCTGTTTCAAGCTTTTAGCAGGATGTGAGCCCAGGTGGCTAACGGTTCGTTTGGCCAGGGACAGCCCTTCCCTATCCTCCCCCCTGCCCCAGCCGCTGGTTCAGCGAACCTGGAAAGGGCTGGCAGGTAGGCTATGGCATTCTGCATGGTACCAAGGGGCAAAAGATCTGGACTGCTGACCTGTTCTGGCCCCACCATATTACCACCAAACACAGTGTGTCCTTGGGCAGGTCTTACCCCATCTGGAACTCAGTTCTCCTATCTGTAAAATGGGGAGACCAGATTTCACCTACACAGGCTAATGATCATCCAAGGATGCTGGAGGACAGCATGGTCCCAGTGGCTGTGCTTTGGAAAGCTCACTGGGTGACCCACATTCTGGGAAGTCTGGGGTAGTGATTGGGTAGAGTTGCTCAGGTTGTTACCAACTTCGAGTAAGGCCATATTCCAGAGTCCCCTCCTATCCCCTGGGTAGATTCCTATGGCTTAACTCCCTATGCTGTCAGTAGGCATGGAGCCCACCCAGGGTTTAGGAGTGATGTGCTTACACATGGGTGGGTAGGGGGCCTGGTCTGTCTGACCCCGGAGTGGCCGTAACACAGCCAAAGGACTCAGCCGCCATCCCTTCCTCTGCCTGGAGGCAGCAATTGTTCCTTCAGCCTGTGGACTGCAGCCAGGAGGCCACTGTAGGGTCAGGGCCAGGGCGGGAGGCCAGTGGCGGCCTCAAGGGTGTGGGAATACCGACAAGTCAGGAGCCAGTGTAGGTCAGGCTGTATCCAGCAGGTGTGAGAGTGGGGCTCTCACAGGGCCTTGGAGCTCCTGGGAGGTAGGGTGCTGTCTTGTATTGATCTTTTGAAGCTGGGGAGGAGGTGGGTAACAGGCTCTGCCAAGTCAGTGGCTGGTCTGCTGGACTCATAGGAGGAAAGGGGACCACCTGGCTCTTGTATCCAGGGGCTAGGGGTTGGGAGCTGAGGGTGGGAGTGTAGGGCAGAGAGGGGCTGGGAGGAGGTGCTGACAGTGACCAAGAAGCCGCACACCCCTAGGGCTTGGTTCTGGAGAAGGAGGCTGAGGGCAGTGGTTTCCAGGCAATGGGTCAGCGGGGGCTCTTGGGGCATGGGTGTTGTGGGGTGAGGGGAGTTGAGTGAGAGGGTCAGGCGGGGAGTCTCAGACACTAGACATTCCAGCCTAGGATAGCAAGAGCAGAGACAGTCACCAGAGGGGCCAAGGAGGCGGTGGGCGCCGCCCTGGCGGTCAGGGGCTCTGTGTGCCGCTGTAGCCAGGAGAACTCCTCCTGAAGCTGGCGCCGCTGCAGCTCCGGGCCCACCTTCTCACGGATGATTTGGTAGTAGCGGTTCAGGTACTGGAGCTGCAAGATATAGGAGGGGTGAGGGCCTCCCAGGCCAAGGTGTGGGAGCTTGGTGACACCGAGTCCCACTTCGGCCCAGGTCCCCAGCCATCCTCAGGTGAACAGGGGAGGGACACCCCACTGTGAGCCTACAGGTGCCACTGGTGTGGACCCTCCCAAAGTGAGGGAAGGGGCAGAGGGTCTTAGGGTAGAGGGATCAGAGGTGAGAGAGGGCCAGGGCCAGAGAGAAAGCAGTCAGTAGCTCAACGGCTGGAGATAGACAGCGCCGAGTGGTGCCCACTCACCTGCTCAGGGGACAGCAGGCTGACGTCAATGAGGTTCCGGTCGTAGGGTACCAAGGATACCACTTCAAAGGTCAGGTAGGTCCCTGGGTACTGGGGGACCCACCAGTAAAGGAGGAAAGCAGGAAGTGAGCAAGGCTAGATGGAGAGAGAGAACACTCCACCCAGAAGCCCGGGGCACAGGGAACTGGCCTTGTCAAGCCTGAGCCCCCACAGTGCCCCCTTGGCCACCCCTGTGTCCACCACTTTGCCACCTGCCTTTGGTGCTTCCCTCATGATTCCTGAAGTTTAGACTTCGGCCTATGTTTCTCAGATGTAGAGATCTAATTTCCATCTCTACGTCTCTCTATCTGTCTATCCGTATCTCTGTTTCTATCAATTGATGTATCTATGGAGACAAGCATAAAGAAGAAATAGCCCATAATTCCCATCTCCCAGAGAGCTCTTGCTGTATGTGCTTAGAAAATTCAAACTACAAAAAGATACTCAATAAAAATGGAAAGATTCCTCCTTGCCCAGTTTCTTTCCTGAAAACATTTTTGGCATATATAATATATATACACGTATATTCTAAAAAAAATTCAAGCATAATGGATCCTACTATACACTTTCCTGCACCTTCCCCCACTCTGTCCTCCCCACAGTAAACTTAGGAGAGTGCTCCATATTAGCATAGGAACATCTACCTTCTTCTTTTTAAGGGCCCATAGTATGTGGATGATAATTTATTTAACCAATGATGGGTATTTGGGCTGTTTCCATTTTTTAAACTATTACTGTGAATGCTACAATCAACATCATCATATAAACATCTTAATACAAAAGTGACATTTTGGGACTATACCCAGAAGGTACACATCTGGCAGTGGGAAGGCTGAGATAAAAAGTACAGGCATTTTTAGTATAAATTTTGATAGATATTATCAAACTGCCTTCCTGAAAGGTTGTAGCTATTTGTACCTACCCAAGCAAGGTATGAGAGTGTCCTTTTCCCCACAAACTCACAAGCACTGGGTATCATCAAAGTCTTTTGCTTTTATCAATCAGGTGGTATTCCACTGTCACTTTGATTTGCATCTTTTTAACAATAAAGTTGAGCATCTTTTCGAATTTATGGACCATTTGTGTTGATTTTAGTTAATTGCCTCTTTATGTCTTTTAACCTCTTTATGTAATTTTTTCTGTTTTCCTTATTTTGGTCTTACTAATTTTTTTTTTAAGTCACTCAGTCATGTCCAACTCTTTGCGACCCCATGGACTATACAGTCCATGGAATTCTCCAGGACAGAATACTGGAGTGGGTAGCCTTTCCCTTTTCCAGGGGATTTTCCCAACCCAGGGATTGAACCCAATCCTCCCGCATTGCAGGTGGATTCTTTACCAGCTGAGCCACAAGGGAAGCCTGGTCTTACTTATTTTTAAAAGCTTGTAAAAGAAGGACATCCCCTTTTTTCAGATATACGTGCTAAACTTGTCATACATCTTTTGACTTCATTTTGGCATTGTTCCCATATAGACGTTCTTTGTTTAACTGAGTCAGAGTTATAAAGGCCCCTTTCTGCCCTGGGATTATAAATGAATTCATATAGGTTTTCTTCTAGATCTTTTATGGTTTCACCTTTAAACCTTGATCCATTTGCAATTTTTTTTAGTGTAACAAGGAGGTTCTTCAGTTTAATTCCCCCAACCAAATGATTAGCCATTTGTCTCCCCTGCCCAGTGATCAAACGATCTCTCTTGACTGTTTTGAGGCAAGAGCTTTATAGTAAACTAAATTCCCATCTTGTTTGTGGAAATTAGAGGGTCTATTTCTGGACTAACTATTCAGTCCCACTGTTCCATCCGTCTTTCCCATCTCTAGTCTTACTGTTTTAGTGATGGCAGCTTTGTAGTGTGGGCTAGTATCTGCAAGAGCTAGTTTCCCTTATTGTTCTTTTCCAGAATTATCCTAGCTACTAAGCTATCTTTGTATGTTTATCTTTACAAATAAACTTTACTATCATTTTGTGAAGTTACAAAAGCATCCAGTTAACGTTGAAATTGTGATTGTCTTGAATTTATAGATTAATTTAGGGGGAAATGACATCTTCATAATATTGAGGCTTATTTCCAGAGAGCACCATTTACTTAAATCTTTTTTTATGTCCCTCAGTAGAGATTTTCTGCACATAAGTCTTTTAAAGTTTATATCTAGGTATTTTATCTTCTTGGTTGTTATTATAGAGAATCTTTATACCTAACAAGCTCCCCTGGTACTTATTATGTGCATGAAGAACCAATGATTTAGGGCAGGGCTACTGATTCATTTGGCTCAGAGTGAGAGCTGGGCATTGGCTTGAAAAAAACTCCAGATGATTCAAATATTCTAATGTGCTAACAGGTTTGAGAAATTGATTTATGGAATTATTCTAGTGCTAAGGAAGACTCTAAAGAACTTCATGCCCATACATTGAGTTCTCCTTTGACCTTCCTCACCCCGATGCAGCCCAAAGTCCCTGCCACGCTGTCCACCCCTCCAGCCTGTCTTTACCTTGGTCTTTGCTTCTACCACAAGGGCCACATCTTCCAGACGGATCCCAAATTCTCCATCCAGGTAGTAGCCAGGTTCTGGGAGACAGAAGAGATGCTGGTGACATTAAGTAGGGGGAAGACCCAAGCCCAGGTTTCCTGAATGAGAAGTGGCAGTCCCACCACTTGTTAGATGTTAAAGGGGCTTGGTGTTATGGTGGGACAGCCTATTTGGGACTGGGGAGGTGGGTGAGGGAGTACAGCAGTGGAGTCTGGGCGGCCCTGTGTGGGGCTGTACTCCCTGAAGTCTGGCATTTGCTAGAATGAAGTTGTGGAGGAGCCAGAACCATACCAATGGAAGTGAACATGCCCTTGGCCATGGCAATGTTGTTGGACTGGAATCCCACTGGCCCTGGAAAGGGAGAGAGGGAGAGGCAAGGCCAGTGTCAGCTCTCCTGCACTTACCAGCATGGCATCTAGCAGGTTCCATGGCATCTAACAGGTTCTGGGGAAGAGCAGGTAACTGGGTACCCCCAGCAGCATGCATCCACCACATCCTCGTCTACCAGTGACTGGTATGGACCAGGTTGGCTCTGGCTTTTATTTCTCTGGGGTCTAGGCCAGTCAGCCACTGTGTCTTGACCTGCCTCTCTTCTTTCTGGTGCTGTCCTAGATGCCAGTTGGAGTGGCCAACTGCCAGCATTTCTTACTTACCCTGTGGAGCACCAACTTCCCACCAGCTGGGTCCCCTGGCCTGGGTCACTGCCCCTCCATGGGTCCTAGTCCTTTCCATACCTGTGAAATACTCCACCTCTCTCATAAGAGGCGGGACTGCAGGGGAGTGCCAAAGAGATACGTACACTCGTGCACACATAGGAAGTTGCCAATGCCGTGGCCTGTCCCATGACCATAATTGAGCCCAACATCCCACAAGGCTTTGCGGGCAAAGGCCTCCACCATTCGCCCTGGAAGAGAGACGACCTCCAGTCAATTGGCTGGACGCCATAGTATTGGCTTTGCCCCTTCTGGCTAACTTTTCCCAGACTAACCACCGGGACGGTGCATGAGGAGAGGGGCCCGAGAGGCAGGTAGGCATGCCCTGTCTCCAGTCTATTCTACATTGTACCCATTACCTGGACCTCCCCATGTGTCAAGACACCCGCTTCCTCCCGGAATCCTCCCATGACAGCTGTAGCACAATGACCGCCCCTGCCTCTGAGCTCAAGGCCTGGCTCTCCCATGAGCCCTCTGTGTGACCTTGGGCAAGTGGCTTTCTCTCTCTGGGCTGGATTGGATCTATACAGTGAAGGGGAGTATGACATAACCCCTGCCCCACTGGCCTCCCAGGGTCTGGCTGCAGTGGAATCAGGGTCTGAGGCTCTGGGTCAAGCCTGGTTTCCAAAACCCACCTGAGGTAGCAGCTGGGAAGACGAGTCTGGACAGGTCGATATTTCCTATCAACACACGGGTGTATGCCTCCTGATGGAGAGAAGGCGACAAAATGTGCACGAAGCCCGAGTGGCTAGAAACTCATATGTGGGCCCAGGTGAGGGTGGGGGGATATGGGGGGGCCCATGCATGCTTGTGTGTGGGCACATGAGTTCCAGAAGATGGCCAGAGGAGGCTGAGGGGCGCCTGCCCAAAGCTGGGTCTTGGTCCACGTGGTTCCCTTTGGCTGGTCTAGGTGGGGGGTGAGCTGAGGCTGCGACAGTAAGGGTTTGGAAGGCAAACTCCCTGGGCTAGAATCTTAACATGGCCACTCACAAACTTGACCTTGATCAAGTGTTTTGGGCTTCTCCGTGCCTCAGTTTCGTGGTCTGTAATGGGATGATCATAGTACCAGCTCAGAAGGTCATTGGGAGGAGCAGGTAGACTCGTGCATGTAGGGTGCTCTCAACAAAGTAAATGGGTCAAATAGAGGTCAGTGCCCCTCACTGCCCTTATCATGATCACCCTTGAGTTTTCTTACGGCCTTATGGTTAAGTTGAGGCCTGGTAATGGGCAGGTCAGTCTTGCTCTGTTGGGGCTGTTACCTTGTGGAAAGAGGGAGGGAGGCATCTTCTCCCAGTCACTCCCAGTGGTGATGTGGTGAGTCCCCTTCACCACACACATACACACACACACCCCTACACACAGGGCTTGTCATATTGAGCATGACAGCCTGGGGCAGTGGATCTATCTGCTAAACTGAGTTCCTGGAGGCCTGACCAATGTTTGTTTTCTCTGTCTCTCTGTTTCAGGTACAATGTCTGAGCCACAGTCCACCTGCTGAATGCACGAATGTGGTCCCAGAGGTGCACAGACCGTGTCCCCACACCTACCCCCAGCGGACCAGCCCTCATCGCTTCCTGAACAGTGAAGTCCCTTTCCACCTCAGCGACTGTGCTGGTGCCAGTTTTTTCTCCCTGGAATGGAATGCCTGTCTTCCTCCTTTCTGCTCAGCACAGGGCTCGGCTCACAGACTGCACTAAATAAATATTCACTGAGTTTCTGAAATGGGATGATGATAAGCTTGGACTGAGGCCCTGCTGAGGACCTGAAGTATCTCTGAGGAAGTAGTAGTCCAGGGCACTGGGTTTCCTGGTACTAATTTGCTGTGTGACCTGTGGTGGACTACTTAACCTCCCTGGTCTTCGGTTTCAGCCTCTGTATGATCACACAGCTCTTGCAGGAGTGGTTGCTTGGGTGTCCCTTGGGTGAGCATGGGCAGGGAAATCTGGTCTGATGCCTACCTTTTGGAAAGCTGAGGGGGTACCCCAGTGGACTGTCCTGGTGATGTCTGTTGTCCCGTCCCTGTGGAGAAGGGCAATCATCAGGTCCAGCTCGGCTGAACACTTTGGGGTAGGGATGGTGGCCATGTTCTTCTGGAGTGTTCACCACTGGTGTTTGAGTGGCAGGACTGGGATGGGGGTGGGGAAGGAGGCCAAGGGAAGAAGATGGCAGCCATGATGCAGTTCCCATCCTCAGCATGTGCGCCTGAAGGAGCTCTGCAAAGTTGTCAGGAATCCTGAGTCCCCACATACATCCTCCACCTCAATCCCACCCAGTTTGACCAAAAGTTTCCTTGGGCCAGTCTGGCTGTAAAAGAAAGGCTCCCTCCAGGCTTCCTGTGAGGCAGGAAGGGATTGTCCCACTCTTATTACAGATGAGGAAACTGAGAGATCATAACATTCTTACACATTCATACACTTACTTACTATTTATAGAATGAGGGATGCAGAACAAATCTCATTATCCCCATTTCACAGGCGAGGCAACTAAGGCCATGAGGCCCTCTCCCTTACTGGCCTCGGGGAGGCCAGGCCTGGCTCAAGCAGTGGCTTTATACAGTTCTCTCCATTGTAAACATTAATCTGCCCCAGGGATTTGCTCAGTGAACTGAAGCTGCCAGAAGGCAAACAGTCTGACTGCCAACCACCACCTGCAGTCGTTACCCCAGAATGGCCCCTGTGGCCACCTCCCACCCCCGGGGAAGTGGGGAATGGTCCCAGGGCCTTTGGGGCTCCAGCTCGGGAGCAGGTCACAGGATGTGGCTGACTTCTTCAGAAGGAGAGAAGAGGAAGTGAGGTGACCGTTTCCCTGGCCTCACCCAGCTCGAGCACGCCCCGATCCAGCAACACGCCGAGAATTCACTTCCCCTTTGCACATCAGCCATCTCAAGTCTGCACTGCACCATACTGGTGACTGCAAAAGCTGCTAGGCTGAGCGCCTGCCAGGCTGGCTCCCAGTGAAGGACCTTTGTCATTAGTACATTCACCACAGGATAGAGGATGGGAAACGATTCCTGGCTCCTGCATCAGTTCAGCACATCCCTTCTTTTCCCCCAAGTTTCCCAGAGTCCAACTGCTTCCTAGATGAGAAGGGAAAATCTTCCAGCCTATTTCAACTCAGTTCCCATGTGAATGATTGGTCATACATTTGGAACGAATGGGCTTAGCCTATTCTCATGGCTATCGTGGGCTTCCCTGGTAGCTCAGCTGGAAAAGAATCCGCCTGCCATGCAGGAGACCTGGGTTCGAGTCCTGAGTTGGGGAGATCCCCTGGAGGAGGGCATGGCAACCTACTCCAGTATTTTGTAACGGGGCTTCCCAGGTGGTGCTAGTGTTAGAGAACCCATCTGTCAATGCAGGAGACATAAGAGGTGTGAGTTCGATCCCTGGGTCAGGAAGATCCTCTGGAGGAGAATGTGGCAGCCCATGCCAGTATTCTTGCCTGCAGAATCCCACGGACAGGGGAGCCTGGTGGGCTACAGTCCATGTGGTCACAAAAAGTCAGACATGACTGCATCGACTTAGTATGCATGGCTATCATGTCTAGGTGTTCAGGTTGTGCACTGTACAAAAGTAACACATCTTAAAAAATGCCATTCACCAAATGGGTATATACTAATTTCAGTGAGAGCACACAGGTGGACATGCAGATTGTGGAGTCCTGGAGCAGGCGACAGTGCGCTCCCACATAACCCTATCTGTGGTCATGCACATACTCAGAACACACACACGTCTACTCACAAACATATCCCATGCTGATGGGAGTGCCTTGTCCCAACTGTGCTTGCTGGTTGTCCTCTGATGCTGCATCACTCACCTGCCTACTTCTCCTAAAGGTCCGATCCTGCTCCCACTCCACATGATGCGGTCACCTCACCAAGCATGCAGTGAGGGGCGGGGTGGGGGTAGGCACTGTGCTGTCATGGCATGCAGGTTGTGTCCAGGGTATTCGGGTGAGAATACGGGCATACTGTTTGTACAGTCAAGCAGGGCAATTCGGACTGTGTAATAATGTTTGGGCTTAAAAAAACCTTTTGCTGATTCTTACAGGGTGGCATCTGTGGGCAGCCCCACTTCTGGCCTCCCTCGGTTGCCCACTGTGCAGGGACTCCCACATGTGAAAATGGGCAGGCTACTTAGGCAATTCAATCCAGGCCTTTCCTTTCTCAAATGCAGGATCCACGCCCAAGAAGGGCAACCTCTGGCCGGTTCGTGTCTGAGCTGACACAGCCGGGCCAGGGCGGGACGAGGTGGAGTACATACCAGTATTGTCCCCCAGAATCCAGCAGGTACATCTCGTCAGAGGACAGCTTGCGGTGCAGCTCTTTGGTGGGGCTGGGAAGGGAGAGATGCTGAGGAAGGAGCAGCCTAACACTGAGCCGGGTAGGGAGGGGTCCTGAATGAAAGCAGGGGAACCCCTTCCTCCCTGTGGGTCATTGGCTTTTCAGCTAACTCCTTTGGGGAGGTCATCATCTCCCAAAGGGCCTTGGAAGACTAATAAGCTTCTGCTGCTAATGTCTTCAGCGCACATCTGTGTATCCTACATCTCCCCAGGCCAGGCCCTGGTCCCCAGGGAGGGAGAAAGGAAAGAGACCTGAATGTGGGAGACGAGAGGGCCTTAGCGAGCACCCAGTCCAGCCATCTTTTACATCAGGAGGCTGGGAAAGCCATGAGGGAACTGGGCCTGGACCCAGATGCTCAGTCTAGAGCTTTCTCTAACTTCCTGCTGCCTCTGGGAGCAGAGGGCCCCAAGAAGCCAGGGCACAGGAAGGGAGGGAACTCAAGGGTGCGGCTGGAGAGCAGCAGTTGGTAGAGTTGAGGAGTTCCTACCCTGCTCCTCTTAGTAGGGAGAGGGGGCTGGGCCAAGGCAGCTGAAGGCTTGGGGCCACCAGGAGAAGGAAGTCTGGGATAGGCCAGGCCAACCACTGGAGGGTCTCTGCCCTCTCCCAATTTTGCCCTTGCCAGCCTGAGGCATCTGGTGAGCTTGACCACTCCCCTTGCCCAATCTCACCAAGCTGGCTGCAGGTGTTTGTCTTCTATGGAGCCAAACATCTGCCCAGCCTATATCTGGGGCCCACCTTGGTTGGTTCAGGGAGAGTGAATGGGCCCTTCTTCCCCACATGTTTGTGAGCTTTAAGAATTAAATAACTCACAGGAAGCAAAGGAAAAACATCCAGCAGTAGTCCGACCATCTGCCTTCCAGATCCTTCTGCCCTAAGTGCTCATAAAGTCCCAGCCTCCTGGGCAGTGAAATTACTCAAGTCTTTTAATTCAAAGGAGACTCCCCACATCTGACTGGGCTCTATTCCCCATCCCCAGCTCCCACAGTGCTAAAGACCTCAAAGCTTAAATGTGGACTCAAGTCCTCCACAGGGCCCCAGAAAATTCTTCCTCCTGAAGTACCTGTAGTGGGCCAGGGCGGCATTCAGGCCACTTGCAGAGATGGTTTCAAAACTGGATCCAGAGAAGAAATCTTCCTCTCTAGAAAGGACATGGCAGGAATGGTCAATGAATGGGCTCAGGGACTAGGCTGGGCCCAGGAGAGCTAGCAAAGGCAAGTGAAAAGTCATGTTTGCCTCTACCTTGGCCAGGCTCCATTTGGCTTTCCCAGTCCCACCTCCTGTCCTTTTCTAAGCCCTGACCTGTCACTTATAGACCACTCAAGGTCGGAGAAGGAGAAACTGCAGACACCAATTATTCCTCCCCCACCTCCATTTTACAGATGGGAAACCAAGGCTTTGTGTCCCAAAGTGAGCTCCTAGTAAAGCAAGAGTAAAGAAACCTAACTCCCTGTATCTGAAAACTCCCCCATCCCAGGAGCAGCATTTTGGGCTAAGTATGCCCTCAGGGAACCTCCCTCCTCAGCCTGATATTCTCAAGTGATCCAAGGTCCTACAGGCCTGAGCTGGCCTCCCCTCAGAAAGGCCCGTGCCTGAAGCAGACACTAGGGGGCGCTGTTGGGTTGTGGCCCTTCTAGGTGTCCAGCTCTCAGCAGAGTTGGGGAATGTCATCCAATACCCCTGCCCAGCTTCCTGACCACTCAAGAACCTGTCACTCCTTATTCCAGAGAGCCCTCAAATACAAGGAGGGTCTTCCTTCCCCAGTAAGTAAGGAGACCAGGCTCCCCTCCCTGCCCCCACTCCCACACTTAGACAGTCAGCCGAAAAGGATGGCTGTGGTCATTCACCCTCGGAACTTCTCCAGTTGTTCTGCCCCTGAGAACTCATCCACGGTGCCTTGGGGCACATTTTTCTCCAGCCAGACCAAGTAGCGGATCACAGCCACAGCATCCCGCACCTGGAGCAGGGCAAGCAGAAAGGCAGACTGAGGAACGGTCTCAGCTGGGGCTCCAGGATGCAGGAGATGATGGGGTGACTGCTCTGGGAGCTGAGCTTTAAAAACGTGAGGGTTTAACTGGCTATGTGATACTATTAAGGGATTCTTATTCATGTCTATATACATGATCAGAGTATGGTCATGTTTTGAAAAGAGTTCTTGTCTTGTCAGAGATACTGAAATGTTGCTAGAAGAAACACTGTGATAGATGGCACTTGCTTTAAAATCATCTAGCAGCAGAGGATGGGGAGTGGAGGTAATGACTGTGGGGTTGTAGAGGAAATGAGATTGGCCTTGAGTTGATGATTATTGAAGCTGGATGATAGTGACGGGATCACTAAGCTATTTCCTCTACTTTTGTACATGGTTAACATTTTCCACAAGAAAAGTTTTAAAAAATGAGGCAGCATATCCCAATTTTAACAGGAATATCCAAAGGGGCAAGCCATCCTCTCCCCAGGGTGAAGAAATTATAATAGCTAATACATTTAAGACTTGGGGTGTGCCAGGTGGCGGTACTAAAAGCTATCTACATATTTAATATATATAAGTACATAACTGTATTTATACACATAGAACTCTATAATTATTATATAAGTATCATATATTTACATAATTATTATATATTTATAGGTATATTTTGCACATATACATAAATGTATATAAATGCATATATGTACACTCTATATATTTAGGGTTTCTGAGGTGGTGCAGTGGTAAAGAACCTGCCTGCCAATGCAGGAGATGCTAGAGATGCAGGTTCAATCCCTGGGTTGGGAAGATCCCCTGGAAGAGGAAATGACAACCTACTCCAGTATTCTTGCCTGGTGGGCTACAGTTCAAGGGGTCACAAACAGTCAGACACAACTGAGTGATTAAGCATACACATATTGTATATATTTATATTATGCATTATAATTAACATATTTAAACATATTTTCTATTATTCATACTATATAATGTAGATATATATATCTTTAATTATCATAACAATCCTCTGCTGCAGGTTACAGCTATGATCCTCATTTTACAGAGGAGGTAACTGAGGCCCAGAGAGGTGAAGTGACTTACCTAAGGTCACACAGCTAGGAGGTGGCTAGAGGAACTAGGATTTGAACTCAGACACTGTAGCTCCAGGGCTCAGGTTCTAAACCACTGAACCAAGCTATGAGTGAGGGGGTGGAGCATAAATGGGTGTCCAGGAGTTTGGTGTCTACTTCTGTGTTTCACTAACGGCCTTCTTGAGGCTTCTCCCGCGTGGTCTCCTTTCTAACCCATCAAACTGGGAGCTCCCCAGGGGCCTGTGTGTCTGCCTGCCCACGGACTTACATGGCTGGCCCTGAGGAGGGTTTGCTCCTTGCTGTTTTTCACCGCCTTGGTCACCATCACTGGAGAGTAGGCGTCTGCTAGAAGCTTCTCCTGTCAGGAGCAGAGAGGAGATGGTCTGGGAGCCCTGTCTAGGGCATGGTGGAGTTTGAAAAGGATTGGCAGGAAACCCTGGCTGAGATGAGAGTTGCCGTTTCCTGGAGTGGCAGTGCCCTTCCTGTGTGTGCTTTCTGACCATGCAGGGCTTTCCTAGTCTTCTCTGTCCAGCCTAACCTTTCCTCTCTCCCTCCCTCCCTCGCTTCCTCCTCCCTCCCTGGTCCTGGATCCCCACAGTGCTCTGAGATGGATGCGAGCTTGGCCCTTGCCAGTCGTGGGCTGTTCGGACAGTTTATTTCCTGCACATCTCATATCATAACAGCTGCCACTTACTGAGAGCCTGCGCTGCTGCAGGCACTGGGCTTTATATGCACTGTCTCCTTTTAAGCTCCTCAGAGCAACTCTTTTGAGGTTGTGACTCTTAGTGCCACTTTACAGATGAGGAAGCAGAAGCCTGGACTGATGAAGTCACTCATCCAAGGTCCTGGCACAGTCGGTTCTCTGCCTCTCGTTTGGTGACCTCAGAGTCTCTGCTCCCCCAGCCTCTGTGACAATGTCTGGGCTCTCTGTGGACACTGTCCTGCTGCTGCTTCTCCTGTCTCTTTCCAGGGTGGCCTAGAAGGGGACTCACTGCACCACTGCTGACTGACCAACTGCCAGAATGGCCAAGGGGCTGTCCCCCCTTCCCTGTTAGATTGAGACTTATTGGGGCTCTTGGTGGGGGTGGGGGGATGGTGCCTGGCATGAACCAGGGCCTGGTAAACCCACCTTGGGTATCACTTCATAGAGCCCATATGAGGTATAGCTGGTCCCGATCCAGACCTTCACATCTCCTGAGGTGTAAGCCTGGACACTGTCACGGACTTGGCTGTAGTCTTCGACTTGCACACACAGGGGACCCGTGCAGCCAGAGTTCAGGTACTGCAAGGTCTCAGAGCTAAAGCGACTCTTGTTTGCAAATAACCTGGGTGGACAGGGAAGACCAGGAGGGTCCAGAATTCTCTAAGGACAATGCAAAAGACCAGAGGCACTGTGTTCCTGGAGGTCACAGGTGGCCCGCACCAGGCAACTGTGCAGAGCGGATTTGGAGTATGTGGGAATAGAGATCAAGGGGGTCAGGAAAAGGTGATCAGAGGCTTTCCAGAGGGTCCTGCGGGGGCAGGCACCCCACTTCTGGGAAGGCTGCAGGTCGGGGCTGTGAGGAGTTGGAGGAAGTCAATGACCACAAGCCAAGGACAAGTCCTACCTGATGGAGGAGTCAGTGAGCAGCGTGTAGGAATAGAAGAAGGGATTATAAGGGATGTCACTGCCACGCAGGTTGAAGAGCCCTGGGGAAGAGAATGGATGGGGCCTACTTGAAGCTGACCTGCCTGAGGCAATTACAAATGGCGCCTTTTGCCCTCTTGCTTGCTATGGCCCCCAAAGATCCCCAGCAGCATGCCTACCCGCATCCTCTACCCATGAATGTTTCTCAGTCTTTCTGGAGAGGGGCAGGTCTTTGAAGCACTAATGAGCTCTAGGGACTCTTTCTCCCAAGAAAAGCAGATACCCAGCCAGTAGTCTGCGCAGGGTGTCAGTGGGCTTCCAGCCCAGGGCTGGGGTCGGGTGAGCCATGCTGGGACAGAGTAGGGCTGCATGGGGTGCTAAAGCTGGGCGTGTGAGTGCCCTGGACTCATGGCCAGGCAGTAAGAGGTGTTTGCTGGGCCTCCTCCCCTTCATGAGACAGAAACCTCTATTGCTTTGGTCGCCTGGTCCTCCAATGGCCTGCGGGCTGGCCCCGGATCACATGGGGCTTCCTGGTTTCCTTACTGGGTAGGCATGAGCTACTGCCCTCACCTCAGTTCCTGCAGGCCAAGGCCAAGGAGCTCTCAGAACCCACAGGTACATGGTCATTGCTGCAGGGCCCAGAAAGCTTGGGGGTTCCAGGGGAAGCCAGGCCCTCCCTGTACCCACAGATCTATACTCACAGGCTGTCTCATCCAGTGCGGACAGAAGGACGGCAGTTGGGGCCTCAGGATGCTTCTGCATCTGGCTACGGATGCCAGCTACTTTCTCCTGCCAGGTGCTCCCTGGAAATGAAAGAGCCCAAAGAAAGCATGAGTGACCTACCTTCTCTTTGCCACTCTGTTCCTGAGAGGGCTCCCTTAGGGCAATAGTTTTCCATTCCTTTAAAAAGCAATAGAACCCTTTCTTTAACCACACTCTTACTTGTGTAGTCAGTAATGGACATGGGGCTCTTGATCCAGACTGTTTGGGTTCAAATTCCAGCTCTGTGATTACTTGCTGGGTAACCTTGGGAAAATCACTTAACTGCTCTGTGCCCTATTTTGCACATCTGTAAAGTGGAGATGGGTTATAATAATAGTGTCTACCTCAATAGAGTTGTTGTGAGGGTTGAATTAACTAAGATTTGTAATGTATGTAGAATGGTGTCTTGCTGTATAGAAAGTCTGGTATAACTTTCTGAGTAATAAATAGGCATGCAGAAGAGAGATCAGCAGAGCAGCCTGAGGTGAAGGGCAAAAGGATAGGGCTCGGCTATGTTTAATCTTCTTCTCTGCAGTAACCCCAGCACTTACTTTAGCCACTTGGGTCTGAGCTAAACATTCTATGTACATTGTTTTAAGCCCTACTTGGCCCATTTTACAGATAAGGAAATTGAGGTTTTAGAGAGGTAAAGTGATTTATCTACGGTTTTCATAGCTGGCAAGGGGTGGAACTGAGACTTGACCCCGGGTCTCTTTGACTACATGGCTTGCACTCTTACTGGTACAGACATGGGATGACCTTGCTAACTTTGTTAGTCTCCACCTTGTCCTTAAACTTTGTGTCACAGAGCTGTCCTTTTGGAGATGCTTGTATACTGGTTCTAAGACTTTGATTTTCATCTTTTTTTCTTACTCCCTGCAATCCCTCTAAAGAGTCTGCCCCTCTGCAGGGCCAGGAATTTGCTGGCGGAAGATCATAAGCATGAAGGGTTCTAGTTGGGCTTGGAGATTAGCATAAATAACATAATTCAATTTAAAAAAATCTTTATGCAAACAGGTAAAACTATTCAACAAAAACCAAAGCTTTGGGTTTAATACTTTTTTTTAAGGTTGATTCTATTTTACTGTGGTAAAATACACATACCATGAAATGTATCATTTTAACCATTTTAAAGTGCACAACTCAGTGCCTTTAAGAACATTCACGAGATTGTGCAACCACCACCACTAATTCCAGAACATTCTTATCATCCCAAAAGGAAACCCTGCCCTCCAGCTGTCCCCTTCATTCATTTCTCCCCCCAGCTCCATCAACCACTGATCTGCTTTCTGTCTCCATGGACTTGCCTATGCTGGATATTTTACACAGATGCAATCATACAACATGGGGCCTTCGCTGGCTTCTTTCACTTAGAATGATGTTTTCAAGGTTCATGGATGTGATACATTTTTGAGATGACAAATGAAAGCCAACTTCAATGGCTCGACACACAGAGCTATCTTTGAGTAACTACTTTTCATGTTCTTTACTTCATCCCCTTCAAAACCTGTGAGTGACTGGAGAGAAAGTCTCTCTTATAAGCTTAGAAAGACTCTGTTCTTGGGCTTCCAGGCCCAATTCTGGCTCCATGTGGCCTTTCCTTGAAGACTAACAGCCTGCAATGGCTCAGTTTCCTTTCACTTGTGGGAAGTGATAAAACCCATGGGAATTCTTTCCCAGCCCCTGGAAGGTTTTCCCTCTTTATCCCCTCCTCTTCCTGATGGAACTGCAGCCTTCTTTATTTGAATGGGATGAGTTTTATTTATGATGGAACCATCTTGGATAGCAAGTTTCTTTAAAAACTGTGTCAAGCATCAGAAAGATTCTGCAAGTTACATCAGAATGGATAAAGAAAATTGGACCCAATTGTGACTTGTTTCATCAGACCCACTATTTTGAAATTTCTCTCCTGTTTTCCAGATTCCTTTCCAAACAAGGAGTGTACATAGACCTGTGTATGGAAATGGGTCTCTCAGATTGCCCAATGTTCCCAGGAATCCAAGTCAAGGGCTTGTATCAGAATTCCTAAGAAGGTAGGGAGTGGTGGTGGTCAAGATACTGATTCATGATCACTAGCCTGGGTCTGGTCAGGAGCTTAGTTAGTACTTACAAGAATCATAGAGCATACTGTTCTCTTATGACATATTTAGATAGTGTCAGTGGGGTCAAGATTTTTGATGTTAGAACTTTAGGGGGTCAGTTAACTTTCCTTTGTGGTTTGACCAAAACTTGAATCTTAATTTGTGCCACAGACTGACCTTGAGTTTAGTTTATGCTTCCTTTGTCCATACCAGCCCATCTGACCCCAGCCATCTTACATCTGAATTCCTCATCACAGGAAGGCCAGAAGTCAGGCTCTGAATGATTCAATACAAAGCAGTCTTCAGTACCAGAGAAGCAACTCATGTTTTTTTTCTCTACAAAGGGGTAGGGATTTTTTCATCATTCTCTGACTCCCTTGTTTCCTCCCTTCCTGTTCCCTCCTGCTTTATTCCAGCATTTTCTAAGTATGGTCTGAGGACCCTCTGATTCAGATTCTCTGAGGAGAGGGGGCCTAGAAACCTGCATTAAAGGTGCACATGAAACCACTGCTTTGGAACCTCTTAGGATGAATTTTTCAGCCAAAGGAGTAGCACTGCAGGTCGGGGCTGCTTCAAGCTGCGAAAGAGGACCAGCGTAGGAAATTACCTGTGAATGCCTCCTGCAGGGCATAAATGGGCTCATTTGGCACTGGAGGCCTCTCTGACCCCCACACCAGGTCCACAAGGTTGACGGTGATGGACACCAGCTCTCTGTCATAGTCTTGTAGGGCCACGTCATAACTCTCCCAGGAGTCTACAGAGACAGGAAGGAGTTCAGACTTGAGGAAAAATTGTGACTAGGGCAAAGTTAGCTCTTGTCCCCTCTGTCTCTCATTCCACTCCTGCAGCCTGGCTGCCAGAGCCTGTCCAAGCAGTCTGAACCTTCTGAGCTCTGCCCTCTCACCTTCTTCCTTCACTTTTCAAAGTTCAGTTGCCCTGAGCCCACACCAATGCTGCCCACAGTCAGCTGGCTAAGCTCATCTTTTTAAGTGTCAATGGCTGTGGGGCCGTCTTTTCGGTCCTGTCTGCATGCCACTGCCCAAAGGAATGGTGAGGTTCAGGCTACTGGAAAGGCTGGCAGAGAAGCCAGGTCTGAAGTGGGAGCCTTCCAGTACATATACATGAGGATGCCACTGCTGGGGGCAGGCTGGCCAGTGGTGGGGGCACCAGGGCTCAAGGAGCCATGTTCCTAGAGGGGAGAAGAGGGGACTGTGTTGCTGCTTCTTTTTATTTATTTTTTGGCCATGCCATACAGCATGTGGGATCTTAGTTCCCAGACCAGGGATTGAACCCATGCCCCTTGCAGTGGAAGTGCAGAGTCTTAACCACTGAATTACCAGAGAAGTCCCAGGGACTGTGTTTCTTTACTCAGAAACCCTTCTATCTCCTCCAATCCTTCCAAGCTGCCTTCCAGAAGAGGGCTCTCAAGTGATTCTAGTGCTCTGATCAGTAGAGTTCCAGGGTACAGGGGATGGTTCTAGGTTGAAGACCATCTTAGCCGACTCGTTGATTAGGTCTTAACAATTCCCTGAGTCTTCTAGTTTGGGTCTCTGCACTCCTGACCTTTAAAAAACTCTATTTATTCTTTTAAATGTATTTTCATTACACAATCCTGGAATACAGCCTTGTTGCAAAATACTCTGCAACCACAAGTTCAAACACTCTATTTTTAGAGTCCCCCTGCACCTCCTTCTGCCAGGATGTGTTTCTTTACATCCCGAGGGCCTGAGACTCCCTCACTGGTGTGGACACACACGGGAACTGAGGGAAGAACCTACCGATGGAGAAGAGGAAGGGGTCAACACCCACACGTGCTCCGACAGGAATCTCGGTGAGGAGCCAGGTAACAACGGGAGTGGTGCCAACTGAAAGACAAGAAGGGACATTGAGGTTACCACAGCCCTGCAGCCGGGCTTCTGTCTGTGACAGTCCTGTCAGGTCTGTCCTCCATGATATCCATCTCAAAGGTTAGGGATGGCTCCAAATTTCCTGAGCTCCTCACAGCAGCCCAGAATAGCCTTGCAGGCACCCCCTCACCTGTATCTTCCCCAGCGGAGTCTCTTACCTTCCTTATGAAGCTCCCAGTTGCAGTCCATTTGCCGCTCAGCCTGTGTCCAATAGCGGCTGTCAGTCCAGAGAGAGGCTTTCGCCATGGTCACCACTGCGACTCCTGGGGCAGAAGAGACTCTTGGAGGGGAGGGTGACAGTGCAGAGCATGGCTTTAGTTAGTACATGCGTGATGTGGTGCAGTGTCACAAGGGACCTCTGGAAAGAGTCTCTCTCCTCCCCTGGAAGGAAGTGAGCCAGGATATGTTAGAGTGTTGGGGGGAAGGCTGATGTGGACACTAACCCAGGGGCTTTGCTGAGGACAGGCAGAGAAGCCAAACCTGGTGACTTTGGCAAACAGAAGAAGGGCCAGTGATAGGCAAGCCAGGCAGTTAGAAGCCCAGGGGAGGGATGTTTAAGCATCAGCAAGGGAAGCTTAGGTTTCACTCAAGGAGTCAGGATCAGGGTTAGAGGCCCATTCCAAAACTGGTACCCCATAAAGGGTCTCTATGTTTGTATCTCATTGGACCACGTGAGGTGATGCTGTCCATAAAGGGGCCAGCAAAGTAAAACCTTGTCCCCAAATGAGACATCGGGTGAAAGAAGTCAGTGGCTAGATACAGAGGTAGCAACTGACCCAGAAATGGAGCCCAGGGAGTGTGAGGCTGGGCCTGGCTGTGGCCGAGGCTGTGAGCACAGGAAAGAAGTCAGGAGGGCCATTTGCCTCATGCAGAAGTGTGGCTGGTCAGCTTTAAGATGTGCTCTGGTGACCCTTTTAGGAGTAATGGAGGGGAGACAGAGAGAGTAGCAGGGGCCTCTGGACACTAAGTCCTGTGGTCCTGGCTGCTAAGAATTAGTCACATTAGGGCCTCTCTGACCACTCATTGTCTCTCAACAGAAGCAATGAGGGGCAGGTAATAACTTACCTGCAGACCCTGTAAAGCCCGTAATCCACACACGCCTCTGGTCATATTCACCAATGTACTCGCTCTAGGAAATCAACAACACTGTCATTAGTCTCCTTCATGGAGTCACACCCCACCTGGAAGGCCCCCAACCACATCCCATTTGTTTCTGTCTAGTCAGAATCAATCAGTCCTACAAGCCTGAGCACACTGGACACCTCTTCCAGGAAGCCCTCTGGAACTCCCCCAGCTCTCAGGATCTTTCCTTCCTTTGAACAACTGTATTTCTTGGCATTGAAACCCCACAGTCCTGCACTGGATTGTTTTGCCAAGAAGTTTTGTCTACCCAGCCAGGATGCAAATTCTCTACAGCTGGGATCATGCCTTTTTGTTTTACTGGGTTCTCCCCTCCAGTTGTCCCCCTCCCCAGTCTAACACAGTAGAATGGGTATATCATAAACAACTTCTGCAGAGAGCTTTACACATTATTGTATTTTGGTCCCCATAATTCTTGAAGACAGATCTCATTATTCCCATTTTGCAGTAGAGAAAATTGAGGCTCTGAGAAGTTCAGATCCTTACCCAAGCTTCTTAGCCCTTTTCAGCAGGTGGGGAAAATAATTCAAGTAATGGTATTGACACTAAAAATGCCTTCTCTTCCAACTGGGTAGGTGTTGGCAGGGTGAATGGGGTGGAGGCTGAGCCAGGGTGGGCAGGAGTGGGATGGGTGGGCATCTCTGGTTCAGACCAGCATCTTCCCTGACTACTCCCCTCTTCCAGCCTGTACCTCATACTCTTGGACGTGAGATCATTTCAGCCTTCCATCCATCAGCTGATGGGAAGGGCTGAGCCAGAAGGCAGCTCAGGGTTCCTCTAATTCAATTTCCAGGCTATATTCTAACCTCCTAGGGCAGGGGTATCCTAAACATTCATTCTGGATCCACCATCTAGGAACTGATCAAAATTGTTCTGAAGTTGTTTATAGTTTCATGGCCTGAGGTCAAGGAAACTGGGCAATGTCTTCTGTTCTATGTAAAGGAATACATTCTTTCAGTTGCCCTAAAACACCCATGTCCAGGTTCCCCACTTCTTTTCCTTTGCCTGTCAAACCCTTTCTCTGTCTCTGTCTTCCATCTTCTGAGTCTCAACAGTCCTGTTTGTGGCCTGGGTAGCAGAGAGGGTGGGGGTTGGGGGGAAGAGCCATCTCTCACCATGTGGGCATCTGTGTCGGGGACGATGTAGGCAGAGAGATTCTGGGTGTACATCTGCTGGCGGAGGGCTGTGAGCCGCGCTGTGGTATTGACCGCAGTAACTGGAAGGTACTGACAGGTGACAGGAAGACACCAAGACATACACACACACACACACACACACACACACACTGCTTTGAGAAAATGATGGATGCAGGGGCCCCCAGCCTCCCTTTAGGTAGGGGTTGGGGGTGCATAGGCTGGGCCAGCCTGGACAGAGATGGGGCAGCAGCGGATGTTATGGATTATTCTAGATTAAGGTGCCTGGGTCAAGTGTAGATGGAGGTGTTTACGAGTTTGGAGAGGGACTTTCTGTGACAGTAATGAGACCTGAGGTGGGGAGGGGTGGGTAAGAGCTGTAGGGGTCTGAGCCCTGGCACTGGGCCAGGCCAGGGAATGGCCCCTCTTTGGATACCAGTTTAGCAAATAAACATACAGGATATTCACCGAGTCACATTTGAATTTCAGGTCAACAATGAGTCATGTTTTAGTATAAGGAAGTCCCATGTACTATTTGGGCATATTTATATTAAAAACATGATTCACTATCTGCAAATCAGATGTAATTGGGCTGTCCTCTTTTTCAGCTGGCAGCCCTACCTTGTTAAAGGTTATTTGATCTTAAAAATAAAAAGTGTGGGTTTTTTGTTTGGTTTTGCCTTCTACTCAAGGACACATCCGTGTTGGTTGTAATATAAAAGTGCCCACCGACCTGCCTGCCCCAGGGGTCACATACAGTGGGCACGGCACGCACATGTGTCTCATGTGTCTTGAGACTGTAGTGACCTGCTGGCAGGCCCGCGAGCCCTCGCCGACTGGGCTGCTCCTGCCTGGGCTGCTCTTTCACACTCTCAACTAGCTGTGGAAAGAATCGCTCTGGTCTCCAGGTAAGAGCTGACGATCGTTCAGCTCCAACGTGCTGGGCCAGTCTTCACACCCGAGGCCTCCCTTTCTTGACCTTCCGCTGGCTCTTCTAGCCCTCGGTCTTCCGCCCTCCTCCCGGTTCCTCCAGAACTGTTGTTTTCTTTCCTCCCATCCTCCTCCTGGCCTCTGCCTAGCCTCAGCTAATGGCTAGCTAGGGGCCTCCCGCCTCCTTACCGCCCCTCCTCCCACCGCCCTCCCGCTCCCAGGGGCTGCCCAGGCCTGGGCCGGGAGGGAAGGAGATAACCTGCCGTGGGAATGGCTGAGAGGGCGGGATGGGGGCGGATGTCAGACACCTGAGAATGTGCCGCCCGCCCCGCGGGAGGTTAATCAGAAACTGTGGCCCCCGGGTCCGGAAATCGCGAGGAAGGCTGGCAGAGGGCGAGGCTAGCAGCTGGGCCCGTGGGGGATGGGCAGGAAGGTGGGAGCGGTGGGGCGGGGCGAAGGGAGGGCCTCACCGGAGGGCTGATGGAACAGTTTCTCACATCGTCTCTCTGGTCCAGTGACTTTGGGTGGCCCCAGGCATAAGCTAGAAACCGGAGAAAAATCCAGGGTCACTCGGAGACCGGATAGGTCCTAAACAGCACGGGGACATGTTCCCCCAACCCCGCTCCGAACCCCGGCAGAGCCGCCATCCTTTGTAGCACTGAGATGCTGTCCAACTCTACTTGAGGATAAAAATAATCACATTTCATAGGAAATCAGGCTGAATTGCATCGCACCCTGGGTCACAATCAAAGAAACCTGTTCCATCGACAAGTGATTGCCACTTTTGGATGGGTTTTAGTGCTCATTAAATCAATTTTTCCCTTCTAATCTAATTGGGTCTTTTCAGGGTCTACCGAACTGGAAAAGTTGTGTGTAAATTAAATTTTTGTAATCAGATTTTCCCTTAAATGCTCTAGAGGATCTCGCTAAATAATCACCCCACTTTCGTTTTACCCTTCTATAAATCTAATTATATATATATTGGGTTTACTTAAATTCAAGGCCCACTTATACCTTTCTTACACTCCAAATCACTGCGGCTCATTACAGGCCACAGAAGACAAGCAATCCCAGGCTGACATCGTCCCCTGGTGGGGTAAGGTGGGTTAGCATTTAAAGAGCTCCTACTGTGTGCTAGACCCTGAACTCTGCTACTTATCTATATAGTATTAGATTACGGCCCCATCTGCAGTAACAGAGAAACCTGAACGAACTTTTTGGCCAACTCTATATATCATGTGATACTTGCAACAACCCTGTGAGTTGGGTATTATTGTCTGCTTTCTACAGAGGAGGAAGTCGAAGCCCAGATACATTTAGTTACTCACCCAAGTTTTGCCACAGTGAGTCTGTGGCAGAGCAGGGATTTGAACCTGGGCCATCTGAGTACAAAAGAGCCAACCACGGAAGGCTGGTGTCCCACAAGGGACAGAATGTATGGAGACTTAGTTTCCATTTGAGGCTCTGCCACAGGCTTCCCTTGTAGCTTAGTTGGTAAAGAATCTGCCGGCAGTGCAGGAGACCCAGATTCGATCCCTGGGTTGGGAAGATTCCCCTGGAGAAGGAAATAGCAACCCACTCCAGTATCCTTGCCTGGAAAAGTTCATGGCCAGAGGAGCCTGGTGGGCTGTAGTCCACGGGGTTGCAGGTTGCAAAGAGTCGGGCATGACTGAGCAACTAACACTTCCTTACTTGAGGCTCTGCCACAAATTTGGTGTGTCCCAAGAAGAGTCGCCCAGTATTCATGGAGCAAATGTTTTCTAAGTGCCTGCTGTGTGCCAGGTCCTGGGCTAGCTCCTGCAGGCTCTGGGCCTTTGCACCCTGAAAGTCCAGTGGTCTCTGATAGGCCTTCCCTTCAGCCCCCCATGTTTTGGGGGAATCCTTTCTGAGGGGGTTGAGCCACAGATGGAAGGAGTACAGCTGGGTTCTAACACTGTCAATGCCACGCCTGGCTGTCTCTCTCAGTCACATAAACTCAAGGGGGAGATGAGACCCACCCTGTTGATTTCGAAAGTGAATACTTGTTTCCACAGGAACAGATCTGGCAAAATGATGGGGCTAAAACACCTACATAAGAAGCAAGACACAGCCAACCCGTGTCCCTTCGGATATCCCAATTACTGTTCTCTGAGGCTTGGGCTCACAAGGGCCAGCTCTGCCGCCTGTGGTCCTTGGCACAGGGCCTGGCACTGGGGAGGTGTCAGGAGCTGGGTACTGAATGAATGAGCAGGGACCTGCTGCCACGGAGCAAAGGGAAGGGGGCCTCCCTAAGCTCAGTGTGGAGTGGGTGTGGAGGATGTTGAGGTGGGTACTTGGCTGTGAACAAAGAGAACAAACAGGACACCATAATGGTGACAAAGACCAAACTGTAGTTAGGCTCCTCCAAGCCCTCTTCTCCATTAGGCCTGGAGTTCCAAATCCATCCTGTCCTTACTGAACCTGCATGCCCAGCCTTAGCAAGAGTCCTGGTAAGTCACTTTAGAGAGAATCACTCACCTTTTGTATCTTATCAGCCTTGAAATCTGATCAAATTCCTCATCTCCCACCCTTGATATCTGATCACCCCGCCTTCAGCAAGAATCCTATGAAGTCAATTTAGTAAAAATAGCTTCACCCTTGATGTCTCCTCTTGGTAGTTTTACATCATCCACTGACCCCCCTCACTCTACTCAAGAAGTTCTCATCTATCTGAACCCCTCACTCTGCTCAAGAAGTTCTCATCCATCTTTACTGTTTTCAGAGTTGAGCCCTTTCTCCCCTATTGCAGTGCCCCTATTGCAGTAGAGGGTTTCCTTGCTAGCTCAGTGGTTAAAGAATCTGCCTGCAATTCAGGAGACTTGGGTTTGATTCCTGGGTCAGGGAGATCCCCTGGAGAAGAAAATGGCAAGCCACTGCAGTATTCTTGCTGGGAGAATTCCACGGACAGAGGAGCCTGGCGGGCTACAGCCCATGGGGTCACAAAGAGTCAGATAGGACTGAGTGATTAACAATTTAGGGCTTCCCTGGTAGCTCAGACAGTAAAGAATCCGCCTGCAATGCAGGAGACCCAGGTTCCACCCCTTGGTTGGGGAGACGCCCTGGAGAAGGAAATGGCTACCCACTCCAGTATTCTTGCTAGGGTCGCAAAGAGCTGGACACGGCTGAGTGACTAAATCTTAGCTTATTGCAATAAAGTGAAAGTGAAGTTGCTCAGTCGTGTCCTACTCTTTGCGACCCCATGGAATGTAACCTACCAGGTTCCTCTGTCCATGGGATTTTCCAGGCAAGAATACTGGAGTGGGTTGCCATTTCTTTCTCCAGGAGATCTTCCCGACCCAGGGAGTGAATCCAGGTCTCCCGCATTGTAGGCAGACGCTTTATTGTCTGAGCCACTAGCGAAGCCCAGTAGTTGGACTATAAGTCCAATAGTCTTATTGCAATAGTTTTGAATAAAATCTTCCTTACTCTTTTAACAAGTGCCAGAATCATTTTTTCTTTAACAGGTGGGAATGGAAAGGGGCCAAACCAGACTTGAGATGGGTCTTGAGGGTCCTCAGGACTGTCCTGGGGTTCCTCTTGCTCGACAGAGAGAGGAATCAAGAAAAGAGAGACAACCTGGGCCCAGCCTTCATGCCAACCCTTTCTGAGCCCAGAGGGGGGAGGCCAGGATGCACATACCACAGAGGAGGACAAGCCAGGGGTGGCCACCCCAGTGAGCCCGGGCCATGGGGTCTTCAGATGCTGGTGCTGGGTGAATGTAGGGTCAAGGGAGAGTGGACAAGGCTGTTTCCTTGGCCTCTTCCTCCAGGCCTTTCCGGGGCAGCAGCAGCCAGAGGGTGGGGGCTGGCAATGGGGAGGAGGCGTTCAGCTGGTAGATGGAGAGTCTTCCTCTGGTCTTTCGTTTCTGAGGATTCCAGGAGTCGGGCTGGGTCAAGAAGACTCAACTGCCCCAGGCAGCCTCTGCTGGCTCCCAGTCATCCAGAATAGGGTATGAGCCCGCCCCGGGCAGAGTCCAAAGATCTGAGACAGAGGAGCAGCAGCTGGTCTCAATCAGCCTGCTTCTCCCAGCCCCCTCTTCAGCAGCCAGCCCCGGCCATTCCCGAATTCTGTCCCCCTCCCTCCCGCAAGCTGTTTCCCATTAGCTCCCCCACCCGGGCTCTGGCTACGGCCCCACTTTTGGTTCGAGATGGAGATGCATGTTTATCCTTCCGCCTCTTCTGAGCTGGCCTGACTCAGAAAAAGCCAGTGTCCTCTCTCCCTAGTGCCTGCAACGCGCCACAGCACCCTCAGGAAAGTTAGTTATGGCCGGAGATTGACTTTCCTGAACTGAGGGCTGAATCACCTCAGGAAAGCCCCTTCTGCAGAAGTGGCAGCAGCCACTGGCCAAGGGGAAGATTCCCTTCTCTTGGGATGACGGGGATGGTGGTGTCCATTCAGCTGCTAGTGCCGTCTGCACCTGAGGGAACGAAGTCCTGTTTGGAGGGATCAGGGGATGACATTGAAGAGGGAACACCCAGAAAGAGGAGTTTGGGACTCGTTGAAGGAAGGGAGTCTAAATGAGTGAGGGGGTTCAGGAAACTCCATCTCCAGGAATAAAAGTAGAGGCAGAGCCCAGGGCCTCAGAGGACAGACCAGGACTGGAGTTGAGGTTATGCTGAAGACCAAAGGACTGGGGAAATGCCCCCTCAAAGGCCTTTCCCTCTCCTGTGCACTGTATTTGCCATCCTCAACTGCAAGCAGGTAGACTTCATTGGTCACGCAGGGGAGGGGCCCTGAAAACAGTCTTCTAGGACAAACAGCCCTGCCTGGATCAGTGGCCTAGGAGCCAGACTGCCAGGGCTTCCATCCCAGCTCTGTCACCTACTAGCCTCATAGAGGTTTAGTCACTAAGTCGTGTCTGACTCTTGTGGCCCCGAGGACTGTAGCCCACCTGGCTCCTCTGTCCTTGGGATTTCCAAGTCAAGAATACTAGAGTGGGTTGCTATTTCCTTCTCTAGGTGATCTTCCCAACCCAGGGATCAAACCTGTGTCTCTTGCATCACAAGTGAATTCTTTACTGCTGAGCCACCAGGGAAGGCTTTACCACTAGCCTCATGGTCTTGGGCAAATGATGCCACTTCTCTGAGCCCACAGTTTCATCACCTGTGAAATGGGTAATAATTGTAGTATCTTCCTAGGGATATGATGAGGACAAAATGCATTCATGATTGTGAAGCTCTCAGAATGTGCATTGCCACAAGGAGTAAATGCTGTCTAAGTGTTTGTTAAACCAAATGCATAACTAGAACTCAAACAATTCTCATCTGTACCTGGTGCTCTCTGCCCCTGGCATCTAGTACTGCTGAAATGGCAGTTAATGTTTTAGCAAAGATCAGCTAGAAAAAATAACCTGAGCAGACGTCCCTCCCCCATCTTCTGGACTCTGTCCTGGGATGGTCCCAAGGCTGCACACAGGACTCAGCCCTCTGATTTTGTCCCCACGGTCCCTGTCTTGGCCCTGGTGGTAAAGATGACTTCATCTACCTTCACCCTCAGCTCCTCCCTTATCTCAAAAGCAATGTCTTTACTCATCAGTTTGGGGACTTGAACCCACATTGGCAATAGACCTGATGTGGAAAAGAGTGATTTAGGGTGGAGAGGGTGAATGGCCAAGACTCTGTATCAGTGTTGCTCACTGGAGTCTGGCCATGACAGCGCAGGCAGCCAAGTCGTCCAAGTCCAGCTGAAAGGCCAAATTCTGAAATGGGAGAAGGTGTTCTTCAGGGTCCTTCTTGTCCATATCTCTTTTTTGGCACTCTGATCCCACCTTAGGCTTGCCACTCTGCCTTTTGACCTGGATCCGCCTGATCTGGGCACCCAGGATGGCCTGACGTCATCAGAACGTACCTTCATAAATTGCATCCTCTCCCACTGGGTGAAAATAGATGCCCTGGGTCACTGTCCCGATCACTACCACAGCCCATCTCATGTGTGTGACAGAAAAATGCATGTAAAGTGACTAGCATGCCAGGAGGTCTAGCACCAGGGTGGCAAGCAGTCCTGCTGTGGGACTCTCTGGAAGAGTGGAATCCAAGGATGGCCCGAGAGCAAAGGAGAGCCAGAGCTGCAGAGAGCATCCTGGCAGCCTCTCACAATACCAGTGGGGTGAGCTTTGGCAGGAGAGGTGTGGAAACAGCCCCGTAGGCAGTGGTCATGGGGGTCAGGGGCAGATTGGTGGTGCCGACATAATCAACTGCCCGAGAGATTACAGACAGGTGGCACCATGGCCTGGAGCAGCCTGTGGCAGCCAGAAAGTCAGAGACCCAAGGGTGCACACTTGGAGAATTGTGAAACAGCATGCTGAGGATGTCCCAAGATATTGAGGATGAAGCCTGAAAGGGGACCTGTGGTCCTGCTGTTCTGCAGGTGGGAGGGGACTTCGGATCTAACTGCTGATGTGACCTCTGAGGTGAGAGACCAGCCCCCCTTGCCATGTGAGTGGAGCCCATGTCTGCTGCTTCCTAAGTCCCTTTCCACTCTCCATCACGTGAGTCCACCATCTTGCGAGACAGGGTGGTCCTTACCTGCAGAAGAGGAGGCAGGCTGGAGAAAAATAGTGGTGTGGCCCAGGTCCAAGCAGATCAGTGGCAGAACTGGGACTCAAATCTGGATTTGGGGGCTTCAAAGCCCCTGCTTCCTCCATTAGACCTTACTGTCACCCCCATCTGAAATTCCTCTATGGCTCCCACTGTCCTCAGGATGGAAGTCAGTCTCTCCAGCTGAGCAGTCAAGGCCTTCCTCCCTGATATGTCCCATCATCCATCTCTTTTTGCCCACATTCTCTCCAACCATCAGAGTCTAGTTCAAAGGTCACCTTGTCCAGCAGTCCTGATCCCTATCTCAAATTCATCCCTCCATTGTGGAGGCTCCCAAAGCATTTCATTTGAGCTTCTATATTAAAAGCTTGCATTGACCCTTTGCTTTCTCGACTCTCTCTTCCTAGGTCACCATCCCTGAGGGCAAAATCTTGCTTTTATAAACCACTGTATGCACCAAGTCATCCAAGACAGAGCCCAGCAAAGAGTGGGCTCAAAACTATGGCAACCAGCTCCTGGCTGCCTTTCCCCCACATGTCTGCCTTTACTATGGGTGACATCAAGGTTCCTGTCCATGATCCACTTCATGTCCTAGTTTTTCAAGTTTAGAGCTCTTTCTCCTCCATTCCTCTTCAACCCCCACCCCCCATCCAAAGCAGCATTCTCTGGCCTCATCATTTCTTGGGATCGCCATCCTCTGATATGAACTCTGACCTCCCATTTTGTGACCACATCCTCTTACCCTTCTGGCAATAGTCCTCCCTCCCTCCCTTCTATTACACCTGCTTTTCAACTTCACCAAAACTTCCTGTCACTTACCCTATGCTCTTCCTCTCCATTTATCAGCATCCCCTGGTCTCTCTTCCCTCCTTAGGTTCAGATGATGTAACCCATCACTCCAACTTTTTTACCAGCACATTTAACTCTCCTGTCCCTTCCTCCTTCCACCATATCCATCCTGCCAATCTCCATGCTCAAGCAAAGTGTGCTATCGCAGGGCCTTTGCATACACTGTTCCACTAATAGGCATGCTCTTTTTTCAGATATCAACATGGCTCACTCTACTTCATTCAAACTTCCATTCGCATGTCACCTCTGCAGAGAGGCTTTCCCTAATCTCATTATCTAAACAGTACCTCTGTCATTCTGTATTTCCTTATTCTGCTTTATCTTCAGAGCGTTTACCTGACATTATACTTTGTATCTGTTTATTTTTGTTCATCTCTCTCACTAGTATGCAAGCTCCACGAGAGCAGGGACCCTGCTTATTTTGTTCACTGCTATATCCCAGAGCCCAGAACATTGCCTAGCACTTCGTGGGCACTCAAATATTTAATGACTGAGTGAACCCCAGGGCTTTTGAACCATGTGTCTTCTCCACAGGAGAAAATATCACAACTCTATTGGTTGGAGCCACTCGAAACGCATGGTGTCCAACCTCAGCAGGTCTCTCGATGCTTCCTGGCAATCCTTTTACTTGTCCTGCCTTGGCTCCCTTTCTTGTTCCCATATCTAGAAATAGAAAAGTGTACATTTTTCATTTTAATAGATTCTGCCGAATTGCCTTCCAAGAACAGCTGTACCAGTTCACACTCCTACCAACAGGGTATGAAAATAACTGTTTCTACAATCTCATCAACACTGGATCTCACCAATGTTTTACTTTTTATTTTGATGTGAACCATTTTTAAAGACTTTTTTGAATTTGTTACAATATTGCTCTGTTTTATATTTTGGTTTTTTGGCACCAAGTCATGCAGGATCTTAGTTTCCCAACCAGGGATCAAACCCACACCCCCTGCATTGGAAAGTGAAGACTTAACCATTGGGCTGCTGTTACCAGAGTCCACACTCTCTGCTCACTGCAGGATAGGCCAATAAATCTGAGAGACCAGGGGTTGAGGCAAGGAATACAACTTTATTTGGAAAGCCACCGTCTCAAAAGAACCATCTTGTTGGGGCCTGGACGCCAAGTTCTTTTATGAATCAGAGATGGGGGGAGGTGAGGAAACAAAGTAAAAAGACCATTCAATCCTCTCGGAGATATCCTTCAAATAAAATCTAGAATGGCAAGCCTCAGGCAGGAGGATGTGTTACTTTCACTTCCTTACAGCCATTTCATGGGTGGTGTGAAATGGAGTATCTTCTATCA